GTGTCCAAACTTTGACTGGTACTGTAGACCACAGGACTGTGGTCTTCAGTTGCAGGACCTTGCTACTCTCCTTTTAACACTTCTGCCCTTTCCATCCAGCAGGGTATATTCCCAGCCAGCTATGTCCACCTGAAGAAATCCACAGTCAGCAACAGAGGGTGAGTCTCATCCTGTTAAATCATAAGACCACTGTGATAGAGGAGATAGGTGCAACAGGAGCATTGGTTCATGGAAGTCAAAGGAAGCTCTGTCTTTTCCACAACATACTGTTGCGCTGCCATTGGGTCAGATTCAATAATGGGTGGTGTGTGCATGTCCTGCCCATTTCTGTTGCCTCATATCCCTCATCACTGATCTGTGAGGGTCTATACTTAAACAGCATTAGTTATGCTTTGCCAGCGAAGCATGCCAACGCACGCACACACACACACACGCGCGCGCACACACGCACACGCGCGCGCACACGCACACGCACACGCACACCACACACACACACACACACACACACACACACACACACACACACACACACACACACACACACACACACACACACACACACACACACACACACACACACACACACACACAACAGCAGTGGTCATCAGAGCTGTGCTGCTGTTCAAGGCACAAAAGCTGTTCATGGCAGTGGAAGCAGAGAGCAGGCAGAGCAAAGATAGGCAGGTAGGCAGCTATTTATCAGCTAGTGTTGATGGATTTTAGATCTGCAGGCTAGGATCAGTGACTTCACAGTGTGGACAGGGAGGATACTTCACAGTATGGACAGGGAGGATACTTCACAGTGTGGACAGGGAGGATACTTCACAGTGTGGACAGGGAGGATACTTCACAGTGTGGACAGGGAGGATATTTCACAGTGTGGACAGGGTGGATACTTCACAGTGTGGACAGGGTGGATACTTCACAGTGTGGACTGGGAGGATACTTCACAGTGTGGACAGAGAGGATACTTCACAGTGTGGACAGGGAGGATACTTCACAGTGTGGACAGGGAGGATACTTCACAGTGTGGACAGGGTGGATACTTCACAGTGTGGACTGGGAGGATACTTCACAGTGTGGACAGAGAGGATACTTCTCAGTGTGGACAGGGAGGATACTTCACAGTGTGGACAGGGAGGATACTTCACAGTGTGGACCGGGAGGATACAGTGTTACACCACCACCCTCCAGTGCCGCTATAGCACATAGGGCCTAGTCAGAGAGCTCTCGTTTGCTTTTAAAACAATTACATTTTAAAATGTAAATTCAATTTTTTTAAATTTAGCAGACACTCTTATCCAGAGTGACTTACAGGAGCAATTAGGGTTTAGTGCCTTGCTCAAGGGAACATCGACAGATTTTTCACCTAGTCGGCTAGTGGATTCGAACTAGTGGCCTTTCAGTTACTTGCCCAATGTTCTTAACCGCTAGGCTACCTGACGCCCTATCATCAATTAAAGGTGCAGAAATGGGCATTATGACACTTCCCCGCTCAGAGTTGCACTTGAGATATGTGCATTGCTGTTCAGTGTGGTTAATGATGTGAAACACCTACAGACGTAGGATCTTAATTTGATCACTCTTTTGTTGCTGAGAACTTTCCTGCACAGCATGATATGGAAACTTGTAGTGTATTCAAGGTTTAAAAAGGCTTCTAAAGTTTGTAATTTCCACTTTAAAATATCAGACTTGATTTGCCCTAATGAAAAATGTATCAACCCCAACAAATAATGTCCATGAATTATAATCCACATAGTAGCAAACTGGCTCAATTTAACATCCTACATCTGTACGGTTTCTCTTCAGTTCTCCCAATGCATCACATCTCTGCTAGGGATATAGAGTATCATTCTGACTTGTTATGTAATGGATGGCCTGTCTTATGGTTTTAACTAGACCCGTTTTATATAGAACAAAATGTAAAAGGTAGGCAATGCATACAGTGGCTTGCGAAAGTATTCACCCACCTTGGCATTTTTCCTATTTTGTTGCCTTACAACTTGGAATTAAAATGGATTTTGGGGGGGTTTGTATCATTTGATTTACGCAACATGCCTACCACTCCTTGATGGCCAAAAAGCTCAATTTTAGTCTAATCTGACCAGAGTACCTTCTTCCATATGTTTGGGAGTCTCCCACATGCCTTTTGGCGAACACCAAACGTGTTTGCTTATTTTTTTCTGGCCACTCTTCCGTAATGCCCAGCTCTGTGGAGTGTATGGCTTAAAGTGGTCCTATGGACAGATACTCCAATCTCTGCTATGGAGCTTTGCAGCTCCTTCAGGGTTATCTTTGGTCTCTTTGTTGCCTCTCTGATTAATGCCCTCCTTGCCTGGTCCGTGAGTTTTGGTGGGCGGCCCTCTCTTGGCAGGTTTGTTGTGGTGCCATATTCTTTCAATTTTTTAATAATGGATTTAATGGTGCTCCGTAGGATGTTCAAAGTTTCTGATATTTTTTTATAACCCCAACCCTGATCTGTACTTCTCCACAACTTTGTCCCTGACCTGTTTGGAGAGCTCCTTTGTTCTTCATGGTGCCGCTTGCTTGGTGGTGCCCCTTGCTTAGTGGTGTTGCAGACTCTAGGGCCTTTCAGAACAGGTGTACATTTAGGGAAAAAAGGATTTGATCCCCTGCTGATTTTGTACGTTTGCCCACTGACAAAGAAATGATCAGTCTATAATTTTAATGGTAGGTTTATTTGAACAGTGAGAGACAGAATAACAACAACAAAAATCCAGAAAAACGCATGTCAAAAATGTTATAAATTGATTTGCATTTTAATGAGGGAAATAAGTATTTGACCCCTTCTCAATCAGAAAGATTTATGGCTCCCAGGTGTATTTTATACAGGTAACGAGCTGAGATTAGGAGCACACTCTTAAAGGGAGTGCTCCTAATCTCAGCTTGTTACCTGTATAAAATACACCTGTACACAGAAGCAATCAATCAATCAGATTCCAAACTCTCCACCATGGCCAAGACCAAAGAGCTCTCCAAGGATGTCAGGGACAAGATTGTAGACCTACACAAGGCTGGAATGGGCTACAAGACCATCACCAAGCAGCTTGGTGAGAAGGTGACAACAGTTGGTGCGATTATTCGCAAATGGAAGAAACATAAAATAACTGTAAATCTCCCTCGGCCTGGGGCTCCATGCAAGATCTCACCTCGTGGAGTTGCAATGATCATGAGAACGGTGAGGAATCAGCCCAGAACTACACGGGAGGATCTTGTCAATAATCTCAAGGCAGCTGGGATCATAGTCACCAAGAAAACAATTGGTAACACACTACGCCGTGAAGGACTGAAATCCTGCAGCGCCCGCAAGGTCCCCCTGCTCAAGAAAGCACATATACAGGGCCGTCTGAAGTTTGCCAATGAACATCTGAATGATTCAGAGGAGAACTGGGTGAAAGTGTTGTGGTCAGATGAGACCAAAATTGAGCTCTTTGGCATCAATTCAACTCGCTGTGTTTGGCGGAGGAGGAATGCTGCCTATGACCCCAAGAACACCATCCCCACCGTCAAACATGGAGGTGGAAACATTATGCTTTGGGGGTGTTTTTCTGCTAAGGGGACAGGAAAACTTCACCGCATCAGAGGGACAATGGACGGGGCCATGTACCGTCAAATCTTGTGTGAGAACCGCCTTCCCTCAACCAGGGCATTGAAAATGGGTCGTGGATGTGTATTCCAGCATGACAATGACCCAAAACACACGGCCAAGGCAACAAAGGAGTGGCTCAAGAAGAAACACATTAAGGTCCTGGAGTGGCCTAGCCAGTCTCCAGACCTTAATCCCATAGAAAATCTGTGGAGGAAGCTGAAGGTTCGAGTTGCCAAACGTCAGCCTTGAAACCTTAATGATTTGGAGAAGATCTGCAAAGAGGAGTGGAACAAAATCCCTCCTGAGATGTGTGCAAACCTGGTGGCCAACTACAAGAAACGTCTGACCTCTGTGATTGCCAACGAGGGTTTTGTCACCAAGTACTAAGTCATGTTTTGCAGAGGGGTCAAATACTTATTTCCCTCATTAAAATGCAAATCAATTTATAACATTTTTGACATGCGGCTTTCTGGATTTTTTTGTTGTTATTCTGTGTCTCACTGTTCAAATAAACCTACCATTAAAATTATAGACTGATCATGTCTTTGTCAGTGGGCAAACGTACAAAATCAGCAGGGGATCAAATACTATTTTCCCTCACTGTATATATACTGAGATCATGTGACAGATCATGTGACACTTAGATTGCACACAGGTGGACTTTATTTAACTAATTATGTGACTTCTGAAGGTAATTGGTTGCACCAGATCTTATTTAGGGGCTTCATAGCAAAGGGGGTGAATACATATGCACCACTTTTCTGTTATATACATTTGTTATACTTTTTTGAAACAAGTACTTTTTTTCATTTCACTTAACCAATTTTGACTATTTTGTGTATGTCCATTACATGAAATCCAAATAAAAATCCATTTAAATTACAGGCTGTAATGCAACAAAATAGAAAAAACGCCAAGGGGGATGAATACTTTTGCAAGGCACTGTAGTTGTACATTATGGAATTCAAAACCAGAGTGCGGAGAACCACATCTCACAACATAACCTGTCTGTCTTCTCCCTTTGTCTCGCTGAAGGTCTTTCTCTTTCATTTAGTCTCATGGTTGGCACTCTGAACAAAAAATTATGTTTATTGTGTTTTTGCTCTAATGAGCCATTGTAATCCTCATTTCACAAAGCGAAAAACTCATTACTGTGTAATGTTTTATTATTTTGAATCATGAGTTATGTCATTACAGTGTCAGCTCAGGGCAGTGATCTAAATGTGTGTGTGTGTGTGTGTGTGTGTGTGAGAGTGTATGTATCCATGTGTGTTTGAGCATGCGTTCATTCATTTGTGTGTTTGTTTCTCTATTTGTTTCCCTCTCTGTCTAATCTGAATGTTTCTGAGTGTCTGACTCTGTTTCTATAACTGTGTGTGTCTCACCCTAGGGTGTGTGAGATGGTGGTGCCTCTGGAAGACCCTATCATCACTGAGACGACCTCCACCCTGCAGGAATGGGGCGTGCTGTGGAAGCAACTCTACGTGGTGAGTACCATTTCACCTCTCACTGGGAGACCTCTGTCTAGAGTAGAGGAAACATTGGGTCCGTTTATATGCAATGTGCAGGGTTAGAAGAGGGTTAGAAGAGGGTTAGAAGAGGGGATCATCAGAAAGGGAACGAGAACAGGAGCTGTATCCATCCATGCCTTACATACTCAGCTCAAGGGATTTGATGAGATAGGAGCTGCATCCATCCATGCCTTACATACTCAGCTCAAGGGATTTGATGAGATAGGAGCTGCATCCATCCATGCCTTACATACTCAGCTCAAGGGATTTGATGAGATAGGAGCTGCATCCATCCATGCCTTACATACTCAGCTCAAGGGATTTGATGAGATAGGAGCTACATCCATCCATGCCTTACATACTCAGCTCAAGGGATTTGATGAGTGTTATGATGAGTTTCTCAGGTATCAAGTAATTAAGGATGTAAGAATATACTTAGACACTTTTGATGGGGAGTTCATATAAGATATTTAATAGGTACCATGGTTCGTTAACAGAAGACATAGCTTTGCCTCTTGCCATTCCGAACTCACCTAGAACAAAGACATCCTCTCAGCTTATATACACTATTTTACACGTTTCTTCACGAACATCTGGTACCCATCAGTGGGCACTCCCTTCTTTGATGTTATTACCCTTTACCCCAAGTCAGTATATCCTGTCCATCAATCATTCTAAGATCAACATCAGTAATCTCCTTTGACATAAGGAATGCAGACTCTGTGGCACCACACTAACTCTAACCTGGTTTCCCACAACACTATAAAAACCTAATATCAATGAGAAAGGTGCTGCATCCATCCATGCCTTACATACTCAGCTCAAGGGATTTGATGAGATATACATTTTTACCTACAGTGTGCAGTTTTCATCCACCTCATTCAATACCTGAAAAACCCATGTCTATTTGCAAGATACTGTGGGATAGTAAGAAACTATTGGGGTTGAACACACTTTACTGCATATACAGCCCCTTCCCATGAATCCCCATAGCATGTCCTAAAGGCTGTCACTCAACTCTACGTCTTTATATTACTCCCTATGTAAAACCAAAAATAGTCATTGGCCATAAATAATGTCCTAGATAGCTAGCTGTCATAGGCAATTTCACTGTATGTCACTCCGCTGTTACCACAGCTCTTTGTCTAGCCTCGTCCCAGGTCTCTATGTGCTGTAGCCAACTGTTCTATCGTTGGCATGCCATTCATACCAATGATAGTCAGAGGAGATAGTTAAAGCCCACACAGATTTGGCCCAGGCTAATGTTTACCTGTCATGGTCTATTATAACGTCAACTTAAAACCCAATACAGTTCTGTACATTCAGCCAGCATCATCATCCTCCTCTCACTTTATAAATGTTCATGGAGACCTAAATAAACCCTTATCCTGCTAAGTGTGGAGGGGGCAGGAGCCAGGAGGATGTAGCCACTGTATGTAGCTGCAGTTTGAGCGGAGGGAGGGAGATGTTGCCGAGCTGGCAGCGTGTTTTTACGTAACCTCTCACTGAGGACTGCTCATGCTCAGAGGAGCCAAGGAGCCTGGGGCAGGACTGTGGTGATGTAACTTCCTGTCAAGCAAGACTAATGCAAACCATTGATTTAACACTGCTCATTTCAGCACTCATTCTGCCCCTCCTGTGTGGTAGCTAGTGTAGCCAGTCACCATGGTTACCATCCATAAAAATCAGGATGTATCATTGGCTAGATGTTGACACGTTTATTTAATTTTTCCTTGAATGTTTTGCCCTCGAGGCGTTTTGCTGCCAATTAGAATGCATAGTGGTACTTAAGGGAGCGATGGCTTGAGCATTAATGTGTATCTGTTATAATGTACATAATTAGGCCTTACAGAACAGCCGTCCGAGATGCCTCATCAACTCTGACTAAAAACTTTGTTTTCCTACAGCCATGAGCAGTTTCAGAACATGGAATATTTACCCTCATTAAATGTACAGTTGAAGTCGAAAGTTTACATACACCTTAGCCAAATGCATTTAAACTCAGTTTTTCACAATTCCTGACATTTATTCCAAGTAAAAATTCCCTGTTTTAGGACAGTTAGGATCACCACTTTATTTTAAGAATGTGAAATGTCAGAATAATAGTAGAGAGAATTATTTATTTCAGCTTTTATTTCTTTCATCACATTCCCAGTGGGTCAGAAGTTTACATACACTCAATTAGTATTTGTTAGTATTGCCTTTAAATTGTTAAACTTGGGTCAAACGTTTTGGGTAGCCTTCCACAAGCTTCCCACAACAAATTGGGTGAATTTTGGCCCATTCCTCCTGACAGAGCTGGTGTAACTGAGTCAGGTTTGTAGGCCTCCTTGCTCGCACACACTTTTTCAGTTCTGCCCACAAATGTTCTATAGGATTGGTGTCAGGGCTTTGTGATGGCCACTCCAATACCTTGACTTTGTTGTCCTTAAGCCATTTTGCCACAACTTTGGAAGTATGCTTGGGGTCATTGTCCATTTGGAAGACCCATTTGCGACCAAGCTTTAACTTCCTGACTGATGTCTTGAGATGTTGCTTCAATATATCCTCATCATTTTCCTTCCTCATGATGCCATCTATTTTGTGAAGTGCACCAGTCCCTCCTGCAGCAAAGCAGCCCCACAGCATGATGCTGCCACCCCCGTGCTTCACGGTTGGGATGGTGTTCTTCGGCTTGCAAGCGTCCCCCTTTTTCCTCCAAACATAACAATGGTCATGATGGCCAAACAGTTATATTTTTGTTTCATCAGACCAGAGGACATTTCTCCAAAATGTACGATCTTTGTCCCCGTGTGTAGTTGCAAACCGTAGTCTGGCTTTTTCATGGCGGTTTTGGAGCAGTGGCTTCTTCCTTGCTGAGCTGCCTTTCAGGTTATGTCGATATAGGACTCGTTTTACTGTGGATATAGATACTTTTGTACCTGTTTCCTCCAGCATCTTCACAAGGTCCTTTGCTGTTGTTCTGGGATTGATTTGCACTTTTCGCACCTAAGTACGTTCATCTCTAGGAGACAGAACGAGTCTCCTTCCTGAGCGGTATGACGGCTGCATGGTCCCATGGTGTTTATACTTGCGGACTATTGTTTGTACAGATGAACGTGGTACCTTCAGGCGTTTGGAAATTGCTCCCAAGTATGAACCAATAATTTTTCTGAGGTCTTGGCTGATTTCTTTTGATTTTCCCATGATGTCAAGCAAAGAGGCACTGAATTTGAAGGTAGGCCTTGAAATACATCCACAGGTTGACTCAAATGATGTCAATTAGCCTATCAGAAGCTTCTAAAGCCATGACATCATTTTCTGGTATTTTCCAAGCTGTTTAAAGGCACAGTCAACTTAGTGTATGTAAACTTCTGACGCACTGGAATTGTGATACAGTGAATTATAAGTGAAATAATCTGTCTGTAAACAATTGTTGGAGAAATTACTTGTGTCATGCACAAAGTAGATGTCCTAACCAACTTGCCAAAACTATAGTTTGTTAACAAGAAATTTGTGGAGTAGTTGAAAAACAAGTTTTAATGACTCCAACCTAAGTGTATGTAAACGTCCGACTTCAACTGTATATATATACAGTGGGGAAAAAAAGTATTTAGTCAGCCACCAATTGTGCAAGTTCTCCCACTTAAAAAGATGAGAGAGGCCTCTAATTTTCATCATAGGTACACGTCAACTATGACAGACAAATTGAGAAAAAAAAATCCAGAAAATCACATTGTAGGATTTTTAATGAATTTATTTGCAAATTATGGTGGAAAATAAGTATTTGGTCACCTACAAACAAGCAAGATTTCTGGCTCTCACAGACCTGTAACTTCTTCTTTAAGAGGCTCCTCTGTCCTCCACTCGTTACCTGTATTAATGGCACCTGTTTGAACTTGTTATCAGTATAAAAGACACCTGTCCACAACCTCAAACAGTCACACTCCAAACTCCACTATGGCCAAGACCAAAGAGCTGTCAAATGACACCAGAAACAAAATTGTAGACCTGTACCAGGCTGGGAAGACTGAATCTGCAATAGGTAAGCAGCTTGGTTTGAAGAAATCAACTTTTTGGAGCAATTATTAGGAAATGGAAGACATACAAGACCACTGATAATCTCCCTCGATCTGGGGCTCCACACAAGATCTCACCCCGTGGGGTCAAAATGATCACAAGAACGGTGAGCAAAAATCCCAGAACCACACGGGGGGACCTAGTGAATGACCTGCAGAGAGCTGGGACCAAAGTAACAAAGCCTACCATCAGTAACACACTACGCCGCCAGGGACTCAAATCCTGCAGTGCCAGACGTGTCCCCCTGCTTAAGCCAGTACATGTCCAGGCCCGTCTGAAGTTTGCTAGAGTGCATTTGGATGATCCAGAAGAGGATTGGGAGAATGTCATATGGTCAGATGAAACCAAAATAGAACTTTTTGGTAAAAACTCAACTCGTCGTGTTTGGAGGACAAAGAATGCTGAGTTGCATCCAAAGAACACCATACCTACTGTGAAGCATGGGGGTGGAAACATCATGCTTTGGGGCTGTTTTTCTGCAAAGGGACCAGGACGACTGATCCGTGTAAAGGAAAGAATGAATGGGGCCATGTATTGTGAGATTTTGAGTGAAAACCTCCTTCCATCAGCAAGGGCATTGAAGATGAAACGTGGCTGGGTCTTTCAGCATGACAATGATCCCAAACACACCGCCCGGGCAACGAAGGAGTGGCTTCGTAAGAAGCATTTCAAGGTCCTGGAGTGGCCTAGCCAGTCTCCAGATCTCAACCCCATAGAAAATCTTTGGAGGGAGTTGAAAGTCTGTGTTGCCCAGCGACAGCCCCAAAACATCACTGCTCTAGAGGAGATCTGCATGGAGGAATGGGCCAAAATACCAGCAACAGTGTGTGAAAACCTTGTGAAGACTTACAGAAAACGTTTGACCTGTGTCATTGCCAACAAAGAGTATATAACAAAGTATTGAGAAACTTTTGTTATTAACCAAATACTTATTTTCCACCATAATTTGCAAATAAATTCATTAAAAATCCTACAATGTGATTTTCTGGATTTCTTTTCCTCATTTTGTCTGTCATAGTTGACGTGTACCTATGATGAAAATTACAGGCCTCTCTCATCTTTTTAAGTGGGAGAACTTGCACAATTGGTGGCTGACTAAATACTTTTTTCCCCCACTGTATATATATATATATATATATATATATATATATATATATATATATACATACATACATGTATACATACACACATATACACACATACATACATACACACATACACATATACATACATACATGCATACATACATACATACATACATACACATCCTTTAAAAAAAATATATTCCCCTTTATTACTTTCCAACCCCACCACCCTTTCCCTAATTGGAGTAAAATAGTGAACAACAATGCTTAGGCCTCTACTTACAGCTTATACTTACTATTTACATTTTACAATAATTATATTTTGTTTGTTTTTACTCCTGAACTTCCTCTACCCTCAACCTCTCCGATCATTTTCATGATGTCCATCCGGTTTGCTTCTATATGTGTCACGTTCGCTTAAGGAGGAGGACCAATGCGCAGCGTTGAATGCGTACATATTATTTATTAAACAGATCACCCGATCAAAACAACGAACGAAACGTGAAGTCCTTCGATACACACAAACCAAAAGGAACAAGAAACCACAACACAAAGTGAAAAGACCGATAGTTAAATATGGCTCCCAATCAGAGACAACCAGCTGACACTCGTTGCCTCTGATTGGGAGTCACTCAGGCCAACATAGATATACAAAACATAGACTTACACACCCTGGCTCAACATAACATAGTCCCCAGAGCCAGGGCGTGACAGTACCCCCCCCCCAAAGGCGCGGACTCCGGCCGCGCCAAACAACCACAACAGGGGAGGGACCGGGTGGGCACTCCGCCTCGGCGGCGGATCCGGCTCCGGACATGACCCAGGCACGGGTTGTGCTGGACTGACGACGCACACCCCTGGCTTGATGCGTGGAGGAGGAACGGGCCGGACCGGGCTGACGAAGCGCACCCCTGACTTGGTGCGGGGAGCAGGAATGAGCCGGACCGGGCTGACGACGCGCACCACTGTCCTGGTGCGGGGAGCTTGGATGGGCCGGACTGGGCTGGCGACGCGCACCACAGACTTGGTGCGGAGAGCAGGAACGGGCCGGACAGGGCTGACGAAACGCACCATAGACTTGGTGGGGAGAGCAGGCACGGGCCGTGCCGGACTGACGACGCACACCACTGGCTTGGTGCGGGAAGCTTGGATGGGCCGGACTGGGCTGGCGACGCGCACCACAGACTTGGTGCGGAGAGCAGGAATGGGCCGGACCGGGCTGGCGACGCGCACCACCGACTTGGTACGGAGAGCAGGAACGGGCCGGACAGGGCTGACGACGCGCACCACAGGCTCGGTGCGAGAGGCAGGAACAGGCCGAACCGTACTGGGGACACACGCCACTGGCCCTATGCAGGGATCAGGAACGGGCCGGACCGGACTGGTAATACACCCCAGTACCTCTCGCCGTGCCTCCACACTTTCCCTCTCCTCTGTGACCAGTGGCCCCCTTAACTTGGCGGCCTCCTCTTCACACCCGCTGGACCGCTCCATCGCGGCCTCCTGCTGCCCCGTCGTCCACGTCGTGAGCCCCCCCCTAAAAATTTTCTGGGGTTCTCTCCTCCCCGTGGACCAGGCCTCCCTAGCTCTCGCCAGACTCTCGATCCATTGCTTCATAGACCAGCCTCTCTCCTCTTCACTTAGCGTGGCCCAGCCGAAACTCCTACTCCCCTGATCCAAGGTCCATCCACTCTCCTCCTCACGCTGCTTGGTCCTGTCTTGGTGGTTTCTTCTGTCACGTTCGCTTAAGGAGGAGGACCAATGCGCAGCGTTGAATGCGTACATATTATTTATTAAACAGATCACCCGATCAAAACAACGAACGAAACGTGAAGTCCTTCGATACACACAAACCAAAAGGAACAAGAAACCACAACACAAAGTGAAAAGACCGATAGTTAAATATGGCTCCCAATCAGAGACAACCAGCTGACACTCGTTGCCTCTGATTGGGAGTCACTCAGGCCAACATAGATATACAAAACATAGACTTACACACCCTGGCTCAACATAACATAGTCCCCAGAGCCAGGGCGTGACAATATGCCATATCTTTCTAACTGTGCTCTTTCACAAAAGCTCCCAACCTACAACCTATATACTTATTATGGACACAGTATGCTTACATTATTAGTTATCTTGTAATTAGTTGTTGTTAGTTATTATTAGTCCCATCATTCAGCTCCATTCAACACCACCCATCTATCTCTTAACACCATCGATATAGGATTTCAATTTGCCATGTATTTTTAAACTCTACTGTGATGTTTTACAAAAGTTCTGAACCTTTCTATTCTCATTGTTTCTACAGATTGTAAAATGAATGATTATTTTTTTGCTAAAAGTATTATTATATTATTGATCGATTGACTATGACTTTTCAGATCACCCAGTAATGCTATCTGCAAGGTTAGCTCCAGGTAAATATTGCAATCCTTTAGCCATTCCTGGACCTGTGTCCAAAAACAAGCTATAAATGGACAGTACCAAAACAATTGATCTAATGATTCTGTCTCTTCGCAGCAAAATCTGCAGAGCTGGAAAGATTGTATCCCCCATATAAATAACATTATATTGGTAGCAAGAATTGTATATAATAATTTAAATTGAAAAATTCTAAGTTTTGAATCCGGTTTCGTTTTGCGTATCAGTTCATAAACACTATGCCATGGGATCGTTATGTCAAAAATCTCTTCCCAACTATTTTACAATCTATATGGGATGGCTGTCAATCCTTTGGTCCTTAAATGAAACTGGTATACTTTTTTATTCATCACAGTTTTCTTTAACCAATTATGTTCTTTGATGCAAGGCCGACAGACAAGTTCCTTACTTTCTCCCCCTTCCACTTTCCTCTTCCATTTTTGCGGTAAGGCTGCAATTATTTGGTTGTAATTGTCACGCTCTGGCTCCGGGACTGTGTTGTTTGAGCCAGGGTGTATTCATTTGGTTGTGTTGGGTATAGGGTGTGTTCATTTGTTGTGTTTGGTAGTGGTTTTGTTTTCCGTGTTTTGTCAGTGACTCCCAATCGGAGGTAACGAGTGTCAGCTGTCGGCTCGTTATCTCTGATTGGGAGCCATATTTAAACTGCCTGTGTTCACTTTGTGTTTGTGGGTTTATGTTCCTTGTCAGTCTTTGTTACTGTGGACTTTACGTTTCGTCTATTTGGTTTTGGTACTTTAATTAAATAAAGTCTATCATGTTCGCTCAACGCGCTGCGCTTTGGTCTCCCTCATTTGACGATCGTGACAGAAAAACCCACCAAAGAAGGACCAAGCAGCGTGTCCAGGAGCAAGGAGACTGGACATGGGAGGAAGCGCCGGGTAAGGAGATCGAGAGGCTGGCGATGGCCCAGGTGGGCAAATCGTGGTCCTGGGAGGACATGCTCGGGGGCAAGGGACCTTGGGGGAAGATCAAGGCCCTGGCGAGAGAGGAGCAACGGCGTCAGCAGGGTCATCGTCGGAAGGACGAGAGGCAACCCCAAAAAGTTTTTGGGGGGGGGCACATGGCTTGGGCGGCTGGGCAGCAGGAGGCTGCCACAGGGAGACGTGGAGAGAAGGCTACCGGATTACGGGAGCCATTGGCGAGTAGAGGGAGGGAAGTAGTTGAGGCACGGCGTAAGAGACTGAGGTGTGTTACCAGTCCGGTCCGGCCCGTTCCTGATCCCCGGTTAAGGCCAGTGGTGTGTGTTCCCAGTACGGACCGGCCTGTTCCTACTCCACGCATCAAGCCCACGGTGTGCGTCGCCAGTCCAGCCCGGCCGGTTCCTGTTCCACGTACAAAGCCTACGGTGTGCGTGGCCAGCCCAGCCCGACCTGTTCCTACTCCACGCATCAAGCCCACGGTGTGCGTCGCCAGTCCAGCCCGGCCGGTTCCTGTTCCACGTACAAAGCCTACAGTGTGCGTGGCCAGCCCAGCCCGACCTGTTCCTACTCCACGCATCAAGCCCACGGTGTGCGTCGCCAGTCCAGCCCGGCCGGTTCCTGTTCCACGTACAAGGCCTACGGTGTGCGTGGCCAGCCCAGCCCGACCTGTTCCTGCTCCACGTACTAAGCCTAAGGTGTGCGTCGCCAGCCCAGCCCGGCCTGTTCCTGCTCCACGTACTAAGCCTAAGGTGTGCGTCGCCAGCCCAGCCCGGCCTGTTCCTGCTCAACGCACAGAGCCTACGGTGTGCGTCGCCAGCCCAGCCCGGCCTGTTCCTGCTCCACGTACGAAGCCTACGGTGTGCGTCGCCAGCCCAGCCCGGCCTGTTCCTGCCACTCGCACCAAACCTACGGTGCGCGTCGCCAGCCCGGTCCGGCCTGTTCCTGCCACCCGCACCAAGTCTACGGTGCGCGTCGCCAGCCCGACCCGGCCTGTTCCTGCCACTCGCACCAAACCTACGGTGCGCGTCGCCAGCCCGGTCCGGCCTGTTCCTGTTCCACGCACAGAACCTACGGTGTGCGTCGCCAGCCCGAACCGGCCTGTTCCTGCCACTCGCACCAAGCCAAGGGTGCGAGTCGTCAGCCTGGTTCAGCTCGTCCCTGCTACTCGCACCAAGCCAAGGGTGCGAGCCGTCAGCCTGATCCAGCCCACTCCTGCTACTCGCACCAAGCCAGGGATGCGAGTCGTCAGCCTGGGGAGGCCCGTTCCGGCTCCACGCATCAAGCCTAGGGTGCGTTTCGTCGGCCCTGTCCGGCCCGTTCCTGCTCCCCGCACCAAGTCTGTGGTGCGTTTCGTCAGCCCTGTCCAGCCCGGTCCCGCTCTCCGCACCAGGTCAAGGGTGCGCTTCGTCAGCCCGGTCCGGCCCATTCCTGCTCCCCGCGCCAAGGCAGTGGGGCGCGTCGTCAGCCTGGTAAGGCCCGTTCGTCCTCCACGCACCAAGCCAGGGGCGCGTGTCGTCAGTCCGGCTCCGGCCAGCGGGGCTAGACAGGACCAGGGGTACTTTGGGGGGTTGGAGAGGAGGTGGGGATCAAGGCCGGAGCCAGAGCCACCGCCGAGGAGGTATGCCCGCCCAGCCCTCCCTTGTTTAGCCCGTATTGAGGCGCGGTCGCAGTCCGCGCCTTTAGGGGGGGGTACTGTCACGCTCTGGCTCCGGGACTGTGTGGTTTGAGCCAGGGTGTATTCATTTGGTTGTGTTGGGTATAGGGTGTGTTCATTTGGTTGGGTTTTGGTTTTGGTTGTAGTATCTTGTCTGTTCATGTGACTCCCAATCGGAGGTAACGAGTGTCAGCTGTCGGCTCGTTATCTCTGATTGGGAGCCATATTTAAACTGCCTGTGTTCACCTTGTGTTTGTGGGTTTTTGTTCCTGTTCAGTCATTGTCACTTTTGGACTTCACGTATCGTCATTTGGTTTTGTTGTTTTCGTGGTTGCTTTATTTAATAAAGTCAACATGTTCGCTACAAACGCTGCGCTTTGGTCCGCTTCCTTAGACGGTCGTGACAGTAATTTTGGGTAGAGCAGACATTTCCATATGTTTTTGTTAGCTGCATGTGCGACATAACTCCACCAGTCCTACCGATGATATCATTTACGAAGATTATACCTTTTTTAAACATTTTTTCATAAGATAAAGGTTAGTATATTAGTATATTTGAGTTTAACCACAATATTTGTTGCATTATTTGTTCTGTCGTTTCTGGAGGATTAAATTGAAATTGCAACCAACTTTCTATGGCTTGTTTTAGAAATAGTGATATTTGGGAGATGATTTCCTTTTCAAATAACTGCAAATTAGTTGTTGTAATCTGAATAAAAGGAAAAAGGCCATTCTTGAACATTGGGTGAGACAATCTTACTAATTTGCTAGAGAACCAGTTCGGATTTAAGTATAACTTTTGTATGACTGAAGCTTTTAGTGATAGGTCTAATGCTTTAATATTTAATAATTTCTGTCCTCCGAATTCATATTCATTATATAAATAGGCCTGTTTAATTTTGTCTGGCTTGCCGTTCCAAATAAAATTGAATATTTTTTTCTCATATAATTTAAAAAACTGTTCGCTAGGCGTAGGCAAGACCATAAGCAAATAGGTAAACTTGGATAATACTAAAGAGTTAATCAGGGTGATTTTTCCACAAATTGACAGGTATTTACCTTTCCATGGTAGCAAGATCTTATTTATTTTTGCTAGCTTTCTATTAAAATGTATTGGAGTGAGATCATTAATTCCTTTGGGATATGTATTCCGAGTATATTCACATCACCATCAGACCTTTTTATTGGTAAACTACATGGTAATGTAAAAATTTTATTTTTTAGTGATCCAATACGTAATATAGTACATTTGTCATAATTTGGTTGTAATCCAGAGAGGTTAGAAAATGCATCTAGATCCTCTATGAGGCTGTGGAGGGATTCTAGTTGTGGATTTAAAAGAAAACATGAATCATCAGCGTACAATGACACCTTTGTTTTTTAGCCCTGGATTTCTAAGCCCTTGATATTATTGTTGGATCTGATTTGAATAGCTAACATCTCGATGGCCATAATAAATAGATATGCCGATAGTGGACAACCTTGTTTCACTCCTCTTGACAGTTTAAATGTTTTTGAGAAATAGCCATTATTTACTATTTTACACCTAGTTACTATACATGATTTTGACCCATTTTATAAGAGATTCTCCAAAATTGAAATGCTCCAGGCATTTATATATAAACCCCAGTCGTACTTTATCAAATGTCTTTTCGAAGTCTGCTATGAATAGCAGAGGGGAGAACAAGTATTTGATACACTTCCGATTTTGCAGGTTTTCCTACTTACAAAGCATGTAGAGGTCTGTAATTGTTATCATAGGTACACTTCAACTGTGAGAGACGGAATCTTAAAAAAAATCCAGAAAATCACATTGTATGATTTTTAAGTAATTAATTTGCATTTTATTGCATGACATAAGTATTTGATCACCTACCAACCAGTAAGAATTCCGGCTCTCACAGACCTGTTAGTTTTTCTTTAAGAAGCCCTCATGTTCTCCACTCATTACCTGTATTAACTGCACCTGTTTGAACTCGTTACCTGTATAAAAGACACCTGTACACACACTCAATCAAACAGACTCCAACATCTCCACAATGGCCAAGACCAGAGAGCTGTGTAAGGACATCAGGGATAAAATTGTAGACCTGCACAAGGCTGCGATGGGCTACAGGACAATAGGCAAGCAGCTTGGTGAGAAGGCAACAACTGTTGGCGCAATTATTAGAAAATGGAAGAAGTTCAAGATGACGGTCAATCACCCTCGGTCTGGGGCTCCATGCAAGATCTCACCTCGTGGGGCATCAATGATCATGAAGAAGGTGAGGGATCAGCCCAGAACTATACGGCAGGACCTGGTCAATGACCTGAAGAGAGCTGGTACCACAGTCTCAAAGAAAACCATTAGTAACACACTACGCCGTCATGGATTAAAATCCTGCAGCGCACGCAAGGTCCCCCTGCTCAAGCCAGCGCATGTCCAGGCCCATCTGAAGTTTGCCAATGACCATCTGGATGATCCAGAGGAGGAATGGGAGAAGGTCATGTGGTCTGATGAGACAAAAATAAAGCTTTTTGGTCTAAACTCCACTCGCCGTGTTTGGAGGAAGAAGAAGGATGAGTACAACCCCAAGAACACCATCCCAACCGTGAAGCATGGAGGTGGAAACATCATTCTTTGGGGATGCTTTTCTGCAAAGGGGACAGGACGACTGCACCGTATTGAGGGGAGGATGGATGGGGCCATGTATTGCGAGATCTTGGCCAACAACCTCCTTCCCTCAGTAAGAACATTGAAGATGGGTCGTGGCTGGGTCTTCCAGCATGACAACGACCCGAAACACACAGCCAGGGCAACTAAGGAGTGGCTCCGTAAGAAGCATCTCAAGGTCCTGGAGTGGCCTAGCCAGTCTCCAGACCTGAACCCAATAGAAAATCTTTGGAGGGAGCTGAAAGTCCGTATTGCCCAGCGACAGCCCCGAAACCTGAAGGATCTGGAGAAGGTCTGTATGGAGGAGTGGGCCAAAATCCCTGCTGCAGTGTGTGCAAACCTGGTCAAGACCTACAGGAAAAGTATGATCTCTGTAATTGCAAACAAAGGTTTCTGTACCAAATATTAAGTTCTGCTTTTCTGATGTATCAAATACTTATGTCATGCAATAAAATGCAAATGAATTACTTAAAAATCATACAATGTGATTTTTTGGATGTTTGTTTTAGATTCCGTCTCTCACAGTTGAAGTGTACCTATGATAAAAATGACAGACCGCTACATGCTTTGTAAATAGGAAAACCTTCAAAATCGGCAGTGTATCAAATACTTGTTCTCCCCACTGTATATATACTAATTATTAAAAAATATATATCTATTCAAATATCTTGCATATCTTATTTTCCATCATTATCAATTAAAATGCGTAATTATGTCGGCAGTTCATGCGTAGGATTTTAACATATAACCCGGATTGCCATTGTATTACATTTCATTTTTGACAAGCAATTATTATTTTAGCAAACAATTATTGTGGTTCATCCTATATTCTCCCTAACATCCCTACCCCCTTACGTTTATCCAAAGAGAATTCTAGTTACACACACGCACATACTCACATACTCTAACACACTTAACCCCTTTCCTCCACAATCAACCATTAAATCAGATGCTCAACGGTTGTTACATCCCAGAGCCCAACTCAAGAAAGGACCTGATTTACGAATGCATATACAGTTACAGCTGATTGAGAAAGCATGCAAGATTGAGCAGAAATTGAAAACAATGTGAGATTTGATTAATCTATTTAATCTATGTCAAGTCCTAGGTGATGGAGATCAGATCCACCCTCTTCACCTGAGACACAAACACTCTGGTCCCCCGTTGTAACCATTTTCCCCAAGCATCTCCGTGTAGTCAGACCTTTGATTATTTTGTGCCACCTGGGCCACAATGATAAGCCCCCTCTCTGATTGTCCGAGTGTGACCCCCTCCCCATGGGTTACTGCAGCCAGTGTTGCCAGCACTGCCACTACCTGGGTGGGGGTACCCCACCGGAATCCCCACCGGCTAGGTACAAGGTCGTCAAGGTTCTCATTAGCAGCTTTGAGAATTTCCTTGTATATAATGCTCTCCCATCAGGGGGCTCTGGCTTTGTAGGACCAACCCTGCCAGGCAGGCTCAGAATCTTGAGGGGGTGGTGCTGCTCAAGTAGGTCTCTGACCGCATTTATTTTCCTGTTTTGGCTGCATATAGGCAACTCACAGCAGGTCCATAAAACAGATGGGTACTTCTCTTTGGTGTATGGGTCGCTCAGGTGGGTGTCTAGGATATAGGGTTGGGGATCGTTCCATCATGATAGGACAATAAAAAATATATTAGATGTATACTATACTTTAAAATGTATATCCTTCATCTGCACAAAATTGAAAGCTCTCTCTGACAACCCCTGCTCACAGACACATGTTGGTTCTGGGAAATGCAACCATTTCCTTTCTCACTCACTTAACGCCACACTTATTCAAACACCAAAAGGCACAGTCAACTTAGTGTATGTAAACTTCTGACTTCAACTGTACATGAACGTTGTAGATGCGCTTAATCTTTGCACTTATTTAAACAAACCTGGGAAGAAGTGTGTGCTTCTCAGGCCAAAGGGAGGAAATAAAATGCTTCAATTAAAAGTGCTGTCCTTGGTCATGGAGAAAGGTTAGTTTTCACGAAGCTGTGGCTGATGAAACCCTGTATCACCTGTAGGTCAGAGAGGGACTGAGTAGGACTTAAAAAAGTATTAATTATGTTAGTACTTTAGCTCTATCAGTGGAACTCATATGGTAACTAGGTAGCCTCCAGTAGAAAATAAAGATCCTTGTTGGTTGTTTGATAACAGCAGGACTCTGAGTAGGACTTGTTGTTGTGGATCTTCTTAATTAATTATACTAGTATTTTAGCTCTATCATATGGTGTCATATGTAGCCTCAAGTAGAAAATAAATATCCTTGTTGGTTGTTAATAACAGAGAAACAGGCTTCACTGAACCATTTTCCTTAATAGCTGCATAATTCCGGCATAATTATTTAATGACACAGCCATGTCACAGTCTGTTTTATTAACACCCATTACACTTTCATAACCCTGACCTTCTACTGTCAGGAGGAACACCTGCACTCTGACAGTAGCTAGGTTAGCTGTGTGTTTCATAATGGAAGTCTATTTAAAACCAGGGATCGAATCATGAGGGTGTGTTGAGCTGGAGGTACAGGGTTCTCCCATAGCAGACCAGGGAACTCTCATCAACATAGAGATACTAACATGGAAACGTCATTGTCCAGACCAATATAGGCACACTGTAGTGTGGGAGTCTCCAAGAGTCAATGTGTATTGAACCATGTAATGTCATATGTAATGTTATATGTTTTGATCATATTGTTGTGTGTGATCCCCACAGAAGCACAAGGTGGACCTGTTCCACAAGCTGCGTCATGTGATGAATGAGCTCATCGACCTGCGCCGGCAGCTCATCCAGGGTCAGCTGGCCCAGGACCAGACCAGAGAGATCAAACGCCACATCACTGTGCGCCTGGACTGGGGCAACGAGTGAGTTACTGTACTGTATCGCATGGGCAAGAGCCCATATTGAGTGTGAGCGCGTGTGTGTATAATACTGTATCATGATACAGTATATAATGTAGTAATGACACAGTCATTTAGCAGATGCGTTTATCCAAAGATAATTCTAGTTAATGCAGTACTTATCAGAGTACTTATGCGGTACTCTGTAGTTGGCCCCAAGGGGAATGGAATTGATCCCAGGTCCTTGGTGTTGCCAGCACCATGCTCTATCCATCCTACGGATGTTCCTATGTTGTGCTCCTATCTTTTTAAAGTTGGGAGCACCAGTGCTACCAATGAAAATGGTAATTTAGAGCCCTGGACATGACGCTGTGCTGTTGATGAGAACATTGTCAACATCAGATATAAATTCCCGCTGTGCCCATAGAGGAAGCAATGTGAATTATATTGTGCTTACTGAATGAAGTAAAGTGAGCTATCCATTCACACCAGCCTTACTGATTGATCCTACGTTATCAACTACATTAGTAGCCACCCGTAGAGAGAGCTCTATGGGCTCCGTCCTCATCATCCAAGGAAGAGCTTTAAATTAAAAGGCCATCTGTTGGGTCAACTTGAACTTTTCCCTTAATCTTAGTTAAATGGATTTGGGTGAACTTAAAATATTTTATATATATATATTTAGCTAAACTGCATACAACATAAAAACACTCTTTACTTTGGAAAGTTGTATGAATGTTAACATGCTGCCAATTAGCTAAATAGTTGTTCAGACAGTGCTTATTAATGAGGGGTATTTTTTAGATGAGGTAATGCTTTTTTAAATAAATGTTTTGAAAAGTCAGTTTTCAGTTTTGTGTTTAATTGGATGGTTAATGTTATGATTTGAGGACCCCCGTCTCTGTGTCTCTCTCTCTCTCTCTCTCTCTCTCTCTCTCTCTCTCTCTCTCTCTCTCTCTCTCTCTCTCTCTCTCTCTCTCTCTCTCTCTCTCTCTCTTTCTCTCTCTCTCTCTCTCACTCTCTCTCTCTCTCTCTCTCTCTCACTCTCTCTCTCTCTCTCTCAATAGGCACCTTGGCTTGGACCTTGTTCCTAGAAAGGAGTTTGAAATGGTGGATCCGGATAATATCAGTGTATCTGAACTCTACAAAATGGTACGGTCAACATGGGAAACTCTTTCTGTAATTGGTGCATTCTGTACATGGCCATACTATGTGGGTGTTAGGTGTGAATGAAAATGTATTACACATCGTTACCTCTCAAAACCCCCTGGCCATTAAGAGAACAGTGACCCTCAAAATGCAGGTCATTAATATTTTTCTAGAGGCAGCTCTGCAGAGTGGTCACTAGCTGGCACAGCCACAAAGGTATAACATCTGATTTTAAACCCAACCCTAACCCTAACCACACTGCTAACCCTAATGCCTAACCTTAATTTAAGACCAAAAAGTAAATTTTTGTTTTCATGAATATTTACAATATAGATATACGTTTTTTGACTTTGCAGCTCAGTTCTGCCTCCAGGACTCATCCCAATAAACGTCAACCTGCCCTCAAGATGTGCATTTATTATGCATTGTTATACATGCATAGTGTACTTCCACAGATATGACTTGTTTGTGTGATAGTATTCTAATAGAAGTGTGTGGGTGTGAATTATTTATTTGTATGTTACACTGACACAGACAGAGTGTTTATGCAAATGCAGTTGGAATCTGTTTGTGTGTGCGTGTGTGTGTGTGCGCGTGCATGTGTATATGTGTGTGTGCTATATGATTTTGTGTGTGTCTGCCTTCTTGTGAATGTGTAAATGTGTGTGTGTGTGTCTTGTATGCATTTTCTGAGTGAGGGTGTTTTTGAGTGCGCGTGTGTGTGTGAGGGAATGTGCCGATTTATCAAATCATCCATAGGAAGGTGACTCACGAGAGGCGTGACTCAGCTGTTGTGGATCTAACCATTTCATCCCCCCTATTCTTTAAGCTCACGTTGCTGTCATCTTCAGTGTGTCCCTCTCCCAGTGCGCACTTGACTCTCACAAGCGAGAATGTACTGTGACAACCTAGGAGAGGTTTTGTAAAAACACACACGTTGGGTTATTGTAAATTAATTACATTTTACAGTCTAGGTTACGTAAACTAATCCCATCTCCAGTTAAGACATAATAAATAAGTTATTTCCTAAATGTTCTCTTGGGATTTGGAATAAGCTGTAGTAAAGTAGGAGGGAGTTCTAAACTAAGTGTACACCTCCAGTGAAAGGAGAATAGAATTACTCAGCCAGATCCAGAATTAGCAAAGTGTAATCACTGCTCAGAGCAGACGCCCATGTCATGTTTTGGGGGAAGCCATCTTGGAAATGGGAGCCCCAGTCTGACCAATAGTAGAGGGTCCAAGTGCCCAGCAGTCGCCTATTATTACTGTGCCGTTTTTCTCGGCTTTGCAGGAAGATTGTTAGTGCAGTAAGTGCTTGGCCCAGAAACAACAGCGTGGCGCATCCCTGCCAAAAAGCCTCCTCACTCTGTCGATGAAAGTGAGCTTGTTTTTGGCAGGATACCCAGGCCTTGGCACCTCTTCAGGCAGGAGTAAAGGAGATCTCTAAGGTTGCAGAGTACAGAGGTGTGTGTGGGACTATATGTGTGTGTGTGTAGGTGATACCTGCTTTGTCCTCTTGTTTCCAACGGGCTAACGTTCTACCTTGTGGGCTTATTTTAGGGATACAGCTCACTGAAGCAGCCTCTTGGCAAAATTGGTGGGCGCCTTTTTATCAGATTTCATGCATCTATCGCACTGTACTATACAACAGCTGTGGGTTCTTTGTGAGGCCGATTTGAGGTGTACAAACAGAACTACCGGTAATGTATTGATCATGAGTAAGAAGACAATAAAATGGGTTGACTAAACTGAAATCTCTCTCTCTTTCCCTCTGTGTACCCCACAGCATGCATCCAGCCGACACAGTGGCCAGCCAAGCACAAACCAGGTATGACCTGACTAAAATCTGCTATGCAGTAGCTAGATAACCAGTTGAGATGCAGACATTTATTTAAAATTTCAAAATTCACATGTAATGGATTTTATCCACAATGTATGAGGTGGGGGAAAATGTTGGTGGTTGGGTTCCCCCATGTCAGTTCCAAAAGGGCCCCCATTTTAGTTTGGGCTGATAGAATGTCCCCGTATCAAATCTTTTTCATGTTCTCATTTTTCTTTCTTGTGTCTCACAAAGGGGACAGTTGAAGTTTTAAGTTTACATACACCCCTTTCCCAAAAACTTTTAAAAATCGTTTTTTCCCCAATTTTCCTTTCATTTTAAAATCCCCGTAAAAACCCCTGTCCTTTGGTCTGGGGAGGGTCAAACCATTTATTTTTAAAATGGAAGTCAAAAATAGTAGAGAAATGTTCCCCCTGCGTCCAAAATTTACCTACACCCAATTTTTGTATTTGGTACATTGCCTTTTAAAATTTTTTTAAATTGGGGCAAACGTTCGGTAGCCTTTTCCCCAAACTTTTCCCCCAAAAAATTGGGGGAATTTTGGGCCCCTTCCTCCTGACAGAGCTTTTGGGGAACTCTCAGGTTTTTTAGGCCCCCTTGCTTTGCCACGCTTTTTCAAATTTTTGCCCACCCCTTTTCTATAGGATTTTAGGTCAGGGCTTTTTTGATGGGCCCCTCCAATACATTTACTTTTTTGTCCTTTAAAACCCTTTTGCCCACCCCAAATTTTTGGGGGTATGCTTGGGGGGCTTGTCCATTTTTGGGGACCCTTTTTTTTCGACCCCTTTACTCCTGACTGATGTCTTTTAGATGTTGGGTTTTAATATATCCAAAAATATAATATTTTCCTCCCTCATTATTTTCCATCTATTTTGTTGGGAATGCAAACCCTCCCCCCTGCGGGAAAGCCCAAAAAACCCCCCAAACAGATGCTGGGCCCCCCCCCCGTGCTTCACTTTTTGGGTGGTGGGTTTTTCTTTTTTGCAAAACAACCCACTTTTTTTCCTTTCCCAAAAATAAAAGATGGTCATGATGGCCCCAAAAAGGTCCTTTTTTTTTTCTTTTTTCAGAAAAATAGCCCCGAGGACATTTTTTTTCCCAAAAAATATGTCTTTGTCCCCTGTGCATTTTCAAAAAAACCGGGTTTTGTCTGGGTTTTTTAATGGGGGGTTTTTTGGGGCAAATTTTTTTTTTTTTCCCTTTCGGGGCGGCCCTTTCCGGGTTTGGGCCCCCCCAGGGCCCCTTTTTCCCCCCCTTTTTGGTTACCCTTTTTTCCCCGGTTTTTCCCCCACCCGCCCCCTTTTCCCCCCCGGGCCTTTTTCTGTTGTTCTGGGGATTATTTTGCCCCAACCCTTTTCCCCACCAAAAAGTACTTTTATCTCTAGGAGCAGAACGCGTCTTCCCCTTTCCCGACGGTATGAGGGCCGTGTTGGGCCCATGGGGTTTTATATTTTCCGGGACATTGTTTTTTAACAGATAAAAGGGGACCTTCAAAGGCCCTTTGGAAATTGCTCCCCAAAGGGTGAAACCCGAAATTTTGGAGGTCTACTATTTCTTTTCTGAGGTCTTGGCTGATTTCTTTTTAAATTTTTTAGATTTCAAACAAAGAGGCACTGGGGGTTTTTAAGGGGGGAAACCTTGAAATACATCCCCAGGGACCCTCCCAAATTTAAATCCAAAGGTGTCAATTTGCCTATCAAAGCCCTTTTAAAGCCCCGGGCCCTCATTTTCTGGAATTTTTCCCAAACTTTTTAAAAGACACATTTAACCCTTTTTGTATTAAAATTTTGACCCACTGGGAAAGGATACCTTTTTTTAAAAAGTGAAATAATCTTTCTGTAGCAATTGTTTGGAAAAAAACTTGTTCATGCCAAAGTAGAGGCCTAAACCCACTTGCCAAAAAATAAATTTTTTTAAAAAAACGACATTTGTGGAGTGGTTTAAAAAAAAGTTTTTTTAAAGACTCCAACCTAATTTTATGTAAACTTTTTCCCACCCTTTAAATTTATTCCCCTGTAGCATAATTGGGGTCACCCGAATTTCCCTCATCTTGTCCCCTTGGGTTTCCCTACCCTTCTCCCTTTTTTTTTCTATTGCTAATTCACCCCCTCACTTTTTTTTCTCTCTCCTTTTCCCCCTGTGACTCTATCCCTCATCCATGCCCGTCGGGCCCCTTCCCCCCCCGCACTCTGACTATGTCCCCTTTAAATACCCCTCTATTCCTTTCCCCCCCCCTCCCCCTCTTTCCCCTCTCTTTTTATTTTTTCTCCTCCTCTTTTTTTCCCCTCTGGCCCCTTTTTCCTTCTCAAACCCCCTCCCCCCTCTCTTTCCCCTTTCCCCCCCCCTCTTTTCTTCCCTTCCTCCCTCCCTTTTCCCCCCTTTCCCCCCCCCTTTCCCCTCCCCCTTTTTTTCCCTCCCTTTCCTTTTCCCCCCCCTACCCTCCTTTTCTCCCCCCTTTCCCTCCCTTCCCCGGCCCACAAACTCCTACAAACTGCTTCGGGGGGGAGGGTTTGGTCGATCAGGAGGGGGAACCAGGCGGGGTTTTTAAACAGGGCTCTTCCTCACAAGAAAAAAATGGGGTTTTTCCCTGATGTCTCCAAAGCCCCGGGAGGGTTGGGGGGTTTGGGGGGGGTTGGTAGGGGATAGGGGGGGAGAGGTTGGGTGTAGTTGGTAGGGGATGGGGTAAGGGGTTTGGTGTGTTTGGGAGGGGATTTTTGGGGGAGGGGTTAGGGGGTTGTTTTTTAGGGTTGGGGTAGGGGTTTGGGGTTTAGGAGGGGTGGGGGTTTTATGGGTTGGGGTGGAGGTAGGGGATTTGGGATTTGGGGTTAAAGGGGGAGGGGTATGGGTAGGGAGTAAGGGGGTTTGGGTGTAGTTGTAGGGGATGGGGGGTAGGGTTTGGGTTTAATTTGGTGGGTTGGGTTGGGGTTTGGGGGGGTGTTTGGGGTGGGAGTGGGGGTTTGGGTTACTGGGGAGGTAGGGGTACGGTTGGGTGTGGGAGGTGGGGTAGGGAAGGGGGTGGGAGTCGGGGTTTTTGGGGGTTTTGGGGGGAGTGGGGGGGGTTGGGGGTAGGGGGGGTTTTTTGGGGTTTTTTATTTTTTTATTGGGGTTTTTTGGGGTTTTTTTTGGTTTTTTGCTTATTTTTTTTGGGGTTTTTTTTTTATTTTTTTAGGGGGGGTTTTTTTTTTTTTTTGGGGGGTTAAATTTTGGGGTTTTTTATTTTTTTTTTTTTTTTTTTCTTTTTGGGGGTTGGGTTTTTGGGGGGTTTTGGGTTTGGGCTTTTTTCTTTTTTTTTTTTCTTTTGGGGTTTTGGGGGTTTATTTTTTTTTTGGGTTTTTTGGGGGAATTTTTTTTTTTGGAGGGTTTTTTTTTGGGTGTTAAAAGTTTTGGAAGATTTTTTTTTTGGTTTTTTTTTTTTAAAGGTTAGGGTTTTTTGGCCCCCCTTTTTTTTTTTTTGGGAAAGGGGTGGGGATTTTTTTTTTTTTTTTGGGTTTGGGTGGTTTGGTGTTTTTTTTTTTTGGTTTTTTTTTTTTTTGGTTTTTTTTTTTTAAGGATAGGGGTTTTGGGTTAGGGTTAGGGTGTGGGGTAGGGGTTAAGGGGGTGGGGTTTTGGTTGTTGGATTTTAAAGGGTTTTTGGTGTAAAAGGGAGGGGGGTAGGGGTGGGGGGTTTTTGGGGGTAGGATAGGGGGTTTGGGGGGGGGGGGGGGTTTTTGGGGGTAGGGTAGGGGTAGGGGGTTTTGAGTAGGGGTTTGGGGGTAGGGGGTAGGGAGGGAGGGGTTTTGGGTTTAGGAGGAGGGGTTAGGTTTTAGCGGTACGGATAGGGGTTTTGGGGTTGGGGGTTTTTAAATTTTTTGGGTTTAGGGTTAGGTTTAATTTTTGGAAATTTTTTTTGGGTTTATGGGCTGGATTTTAATTTTTTTTGGGTTTTTTAATTTTTTTTTGGGGGGTTTTTTTTTTTTGGATTTTTTTTTTTTTGGGGGTAGGGGTGGGGTGGGGTTGGTTTTGGGGTTGGGGTTTTTTGGGTGTTGGGGGGGGTGGGGTTGGTTGTTGGGGTGGGGTTGGGGGGGGGGTGTTCTTTGGGGGGGTTGGGGGGTTGGGTGTGGGGTGGGGGGGGGTTTGGGTGGGGGTTGGGGTTGGGTTGGGGGGGGGTGGGGGGGTTGGGGTTGGGTGGGGTGGGGGTTGGGGTGGGTTGGGGGGGGGGTGGGGGGTTGGGGTAGGGGGTTTGGGGGTGGGCTCGGTGTGGGGTGGGTTGGGGGGGTCGGGTGGGTGGGGTGGGTGGGGAGGGGGGTTTTGGGTGTGGGGTGGGGTGGGGTTTGGTTGGGGGGTGGGGTGGGGGGTTGGGGGGTTTAATTGGGTTGGGGGTTTTTTTTAAGGTAATTGGGGTTAGGTTTTTAGGAAAAGGGAAAGGGGAAAAAAAGGGGTTTTAGGGTAGGGAAAAAAGGAGTATGGGTTAGGGGTGGGGGTAAGGGGGAATTTAAGGGGTTTAGGGTAAGGGGGGGGTTAGGGGGGTAGGGTTAGGTTTTCGGGAGGGGTTTGGGTTAGGGAGGGAGGGGGGGTAGAGGGGAGGGAAGGGGATAGGGAGTAGGGGTTTTGGGTGTAGGGGGGGGGTTTGGGAGTAGGGTTAGGGGTAGGGAAAAGGGAGGGGAGGGGTTTGGGGTTAGGGTTTTAGGATTTTGGGGTGTTTGGGAGGGTTTCTTTTCAAATTTGGGTTCCCCCGGGGGCCCATTCTTTTTTTTATTTTATTTTGTTTAATTTTTTTTTTTCCCCTTTTCCAGGGTCGGGGTTCCCCTGGGTTGGGGGGGTGGGCCGGGGTTTTTTCGGGGGCCCTTTTTTCCGGGGGGCCGGGGTTGGGCCCTGGGGTTAAAAAATTGGGTTGGGGTGGGGTGGGGAAAAGGGTGTGGGGGGAGGGGGTGGGGTGGGGGGTGGGTTTGGGTGTGGCGGTGGGGGGGGTTTTGGGTTTTAGGGGCGGGGGGGGGTTAGGGGTGTTTTAAAAGGTTTTGGGGGGATAAAAATTTTAAAATAGAAAATTTTGGGTGTATTTGGGGAGGGGTTTGGGGGTTAGGGGGTTTAAAGGGTGGAAATTGGGGAAGGGGTAGGGAGTAGGGGGTTTGGTGTTTTGGGGGGGGTAAAGGGGTTTTGGGTTTAGGGGGTTTGGGGGGGAGGAGTAGGGTTAGGGGTGTGTGGTTTAGGGGTGTTTTTTGGTTTTTGGGGAAAAATAGGGGTTTTTAAAGGGTTTTAAGGGGGGTAGGGATTTTGGGGCCCCTTCGGGTTGGGTGTTTGGGGGGGGTTGGGGTGGGGTTGGGGTGTTGGGGGGTGGGGTTGGGGTGGGGGTTCGGGTTCGAATGTCGGGTTGGGGTCGGGGTTTGGGGTTGGTTTCGGGCCGGGTCGGGGGGTCGGGTTCGGGTGGGGTTGGTCGGGTTTTTGGCGGGCGGGGTCGGGCTGGGCGTTGGGTTCGGGGGTCGGGGTCGGGCTTCCGGGTTTTGGGGTCCGCGGTCGGGGGTTTGGGGTTTGGCGGCGGGGTTTGGGCTCGGGGGTTTGGGGGTCGGGGTTTGGGTTCGGGGTTTTGTGGGGGTCGGCCCCGGGGTTCGGGGTTGTGTTTCCGGGGGCCCGGGGGGGTGATTTTAAGGGGGAGGAGTGGGTTGGGTTTGGCCCAGGGTTTGGTGGGGTTGGGGGTTTTGGGGTTGGGTTGGGGGTTGGGGGTTTTTTGGTGGGGTCGGGGTAGGGGGTTTAAGGTTCCCGGGTCGGGGCTGGGGGTTTGGGTGTCGGCCCGGGCGGGGGTCGGGGTTTTTGGGGGGGTCGGGGTTTGTGTTGGGGGGCGGGCGGGGGGTTTTGGGTTGGGGTTTGGGGGCGGGTTTGGGTTCGGTTTGGGCGGGGGCCCCCCCGGGGCCTTTTGTTGTTGGGTTTTTTTAGGGAAGGGGATTTTTAAAAGGGGGGGTAAAAGGGGGGTTAGGGTTTAAGGGAAAGGGGTTTGGGGGTAGGAGGTTGGGGGAGGGGTAGGGGATAAGGGGGGGGAAGGGTTGGGTGGGGATAGGGGTAGGGGAAGGGTGTAGGGTAATGGATAGGTAATAGGGATTTGGGGGTAGGAGGGGGGTTGGGGTGGGGGGTTGGGGGGGGGTGTGGGGGGTTGGGGTTGGGGGATGGGGGGTGGGGGGGTGGGTGTGGGGTTGGGTGGGGGGGGGGTGGGGGAGGTTTGGGTTTGGGTTTTTTGGGGGTTGGGTGGGTGGGTGGGGGGGGTTGGGGGGTTTGGGGGGGTTTTGGTTGGGTTGGGTTGGGGGGGGGTTTGGGTGTGGGGTTTGGGGGTTTTTGGGGGTTGGGGTGGGGGGGGTTGGGGTTTTGGTTTTGGGTTTTGGGGTTTTTTGGGTTTTGGTTTTTTTTTTTTTGGAGGTTTTGGGTTAGGGTGTTTTTTGGGGGTGGGGTTTGTTTTTGGGGGGGTGGGCCTCGGGGTTTCCCCGGGGGTCGTTGGTCGGGGCCCCGGGGTTCGGGTTCCCGGGGTTTTCCTTTGGGGCGGGGTCTTTTGGGTTTCGGCGGGCGCTGTCGGCGGTCCCGGGGGCGGGGGCGGGGGGGGTTCGGGGTTGGGCCCGGGGGCGGGGGCGGGGGCGTTCCTGGGGGGTTTGGGTGTCCGGGGGTCGGGTTTGGGTGTGGGGTTTCCCCGGTTTTTCGGGGCCCCGGTCCGGCGTCGGGGCTTTCGGGTTTCGGCGGTCGGGGTTCGGGCGTCGGGGTTTGGGCGCCGGGGGCTGGGGTTGGGGCGGGGGGTTTTGGGCGGGGCTCGGGCCTCGGGGTCGGGTGTCCGGCCGGGGGTTGGGGGGGTTTGGGCGTCGGGGGTCCGGGGGGTCGCGGTCGGGGGCCCCCCGGGGCTCGTGCGTCGGGGTTCGGGGGTCGGGGCTTTCCCGGGGGGGTCCCTCGGGGGCTTTGGCTTCTGGGGGTCGGCCCGGGCGGGTTTGGGCGTCGGGGGGGGCTCCCGGGGGGCGGGTGTCGGGCGGGGGTGCGTCGGGCCCGGGCGGGGTTCCCGGGTTTTGGGCCCCGGGTTTGGGGTTCCTGGCTCAGGGGTTTGGGGCGGGGTTCCCCCCGGGGGTCGGCGGTCGGGGTTTTGGGGGGGGGTCGGGGGGGGGTTCCGGTTGGTTTTTTGGTTTTTGGGGGTCCCCGGGTTTTTCCCGTTTTGCCGGGGGGGGGTTTTTGGGGGGGGGTCGGGGGTTTGGTTTTGGGCTCGGGGGGGGGGGGGGGTCGGGTTTTGTCGGGGCGGTTTCTTTTTTCCCGGGGTTTTGGGGCCCCTTTTTTTTTTCCGGTTTTTGGTTTTTTCCCGGGGGTGTTCGGTTTTTAGGGGTTTTGGGGGGTTCTTTAGAAAGGGCCTTTTAAAACCCCGGGGTTTGGGGGTTGGGTGGGGTTTGGGGGGGGGGGGTTTTTAGGGGTGGGGGGGTTTTGGGTTATTTTGGGGTAGGAAATTTCGTGGGGGTAGTTTGGGGGGGTGGGCGTTGGGGTTGGTTTTGGGGTTTTGGGGACCGGGGGGCTCGGGGGGGCTTCGGGTTCGGGTTTTGGTTTTGGGGGCGGGTTTTGGGCGGGGCGGGGTTCGGGGGTGTTTGTTGGGTCGGGGGGGCTCGGGCCTTCGGTGTTCGTTTTTTTTTCGGGGTTCGCGGGGTCCGTGGGGTTCGGGTGTCGTTTTCTTCGGGGCTTTTTTCCGGGGGTCCTGGGGTTTCCGGGCCCGGGGGGTTTTGGGGTTGGGGCGGGGGCTTTTGGGGGTGGGGGTTTGGGGTTCGGGGCTTTTTTGGGGGCTGGGGTTCCGGTTTTTGGTCGGGGCTCCGGGGGGCGTCTGGGGGGCCGGGGCGGGGGGTTTTTTCCGGGCGGGTTTTGGGGGTTTGGGGTTTTTCGTTGGGTTTTTCGGGGTTGGTTGTTTCCTAGGGGTGGTTTACGGTCGGGTTTCGGGGGGTAGGGGGTTCCCCCGGGTGGGGTGGGGTCGGTCGGGGTGGGACCGGGGGCTTGGGGGTTGGGGTAGGGTTTTTCGGGGGGGTGTGGGGTCGGGGTTCCCTGGTTAGGGTTGGGGTTTGGGGGGGGTTGGGCTTGGGTGGGTTTTCCCGGGTTTGTGTTGGTGGGGGGGTTGGGGTTCGGGGGTGGGGTTGGTTGGGGGAGGGTTGGGGTTGGGGGTGGAGGTGGGGTTTTGGGGCGGGGGGGGTGGGGTTTGGGTTGGGGGTTTTTTTGGGGTTGGGGTGGGGTTTGGGGTTTTGGGGGGCTAAGGGTTGGGGTAAAAATGTGGGGTTCGGGGGTTCGGGTGTGTCCGTTCGTTTGGGGCTTCTTGGGGGTTTGGGGTCGTTTCGGGGCTTTGGGGTCCCCGGGGGTCGGGGGTCGGGTCCCGGGGCCCCCGGGCGTTTTTGGGGGGTTTGGGGTGGGGCCGGGTCGGGGTTGGGGTCGTTCGGTGCCTCGGGGTCGGGGTTTGTGTTGTCGCGGTTTTGGCCTGGGGGTTTTTCCTCGGGGGTTCCCGGAGGGGGTCCCTCGGGTTTTGGGGGTTCCGGGGCGTAGGGGTTAGGGGTGGGGTTGGGTTTTTCGTCGGTTTTGGTTTTCGGGGGGTCGGCCGGGGGGCCTCCCGGGGGTTCGGGTTTGGGGTGTCGTCTGCGGGGTTTCCCGGGGTTGGGGGTTTTTGGGGGGTTTGGGGTCGGGGTTTGGGGGTTTTGGGCGTTCCGGGGTCGGGTTTCGGGCGGGCGCGCTGGTTTGGGTTGGGTTTCCGGGGTCGGCCCGGTTGGGTTCGCTCGGGGTTTTGGGGTTTTTCGGGCGGTTTTTTTTTTTTGGTTAGGGTTGGTTTTTTTTTTTTTTTTGGTTTTTTTTTTTTTTTTTTTTTTTTTTTTTTTTTTTGGGAAAAGGAAGGTCCAGAAAAAAATGGCTTGGGGGTTTTTCATTTTTAAAGGGGTGAAATTAAATTTAAGGGGGAAAGCAGATGTTTTTAAAAGGGCAAAACCCGTTTTCAATAAACCCATTGGGGGCAAAACCCGACTCAGTCCAAAATGCTCACCACCAGATGTTTCACTTGAAAGTAACCCTCAGCAGGAGTAAGGCCTGTACTGAAGAGAATGTAGGCCAGGTGTTTCCTACTTTCCACAACATGTGGGTCAGAGGCTTAAAGAGATTCTCCGGTGCTTTTGTATACTTTATAGCCAGTAGGTCAGACAGTAGCACCCACGAGCCAAAAGTGGTCCCCGAAAATTGCGTAACACGTCACATATACACTACCGGTCAAAAGTTTTAGAACACCTACTCATTCAAGAGTTTTTCTACATTGTAGAATAATAGTGAAGACATCAAAACTATTAAATAACACATATGGAATCATGTAGTAACCAAAAAAGTGTTAAATATATTTTATATTTGAGATTCTTCAAATAGCCACCCTTTGCCTTGATGACAACTTTGCACACTCTTGGCATTCTCTCAACCAGCTTCATGAGGTAGTCACCTGGAATGCATTTCAATTAACAGGTGTGCCTTGTTAAAAGTTCATTTGTGGAATTTCTTTCCTTCTTAATGCGTTTGAGTCAGTTGTATTGTGACAAGGACTCCCGAGTGGCGAAGTGGTCTAAGGCACTGCATCGCAGTGCTAGCTGTGCCACAGAGATCCTGGTTCGAGTTCAGGCTCTGTCGCAGCCGGCCGCGACCGGGAGACCCATGGGCGGCGCACAATTGGTCCAGTGTCGTCCAAGGTAGGGGAGGGTTTGGCCGGCAGGGATGTGGGTTCATTTCCCACGGGGGGCCAGTATGAAAACAAAAACAAAAACAAAAAAATGATGTATGCATTCACTAACTGTAAGTCGCTCTGGATAAGAGCGTCTGCTAAATGACTAAAATGTAAATGTAAAACAAGGTGGGGGGTATACAGAAGATAGTCCATAATATGGCAAGAACAGCTGAAATAAGCAAAGAGAAACCACAGTCCATCGTTACTTTAAGACATGAAGGTCAGTCAATACAGAAAATGTCAAGAACTTTGAAAGTTTCCCTTCTCTTTTTTTCTATTCCTAATTCACCCCATCACTTTTTCTCTCTCCTTTCCTCGCTGTGACTCTATCTCTCTATCCATGCTCCTGTCTGTCTCTTCCTCCCCCGCACTCTGACTAATGTCCCTTAAATACCCCTCTATTCCTCCCTCCCCCTCTTTCTCTCTCTTTCATTCTCTCTCTCCTCTCTTTCTCTCTGTCCCTTATCCGTCTCCTCCCTCTCCCCTCTCTTCCTCTTTCCCCCCCTCTTGCTTCTTCCCTCCCTGCCTCCATCCCCCCTCCCTGCCTCCATCTCAATTTGGTTGAGGTCGGGGGATTGTGGATGCAGCACTCCATCACTCTCCTTCTTGGTATAATAGCCCTTACACAGCCTGGAGGTGTGTTGGGTCATTGTCCTGTTGAAAAACAAATGATAGTCCCACTAAGCCCAAACCAGATGGGATGGCGTATATGTGTTATTTAATAGTTTTGATGTCTTCACTATTATTCTACAATGTAGAAAATTGAGCCGTTGGGCCTGCCCTGCAACCTCATTGGATAATGCTTGGCAGGCCTCTTGCTTGCTGTCACTCAAATTCTATCACTCATTGGCTATAACTCAAATTACTAGGGGGCTGGCCCACGTAGGGGGGGGACAGCTTCAAGAAATCAGTCGCTTTCAAACTAGGGATTTCATGGCTAATTGAGGTAAAACAGTAATTATTCTCATAGATTATCCATGTAAGAACTACACATTGACACATCCAGCCCAAAGCGGGAGGTTAAAAAAATACTTTCTTAGTTGCCAAAGTACCGGAGCATGTCTTTATACTGTGACCATTTGTAAACAAACAACAGAGATGAAGGGCCATAAAGTGTATGTATGCGTGTGTATGCGTGTGTGTGTGTGTGTGTGTGTGTGTGTGTGTGTGTGTGTATGTGTGTCTCACATGTTATTTCAATTTGTTTCATAATTCGGCATCACTCTTTTAGGGCTCCATTGAGAGATTAATACTACGGTGTGCATACACCAATACACACACACACACACACACACACACACACGCACACGCACACACGCACGCGCGCGCACGCACACACACACACACACACACACACACACACACACACACACACACACACACACACACACACACACACACCTCCACTTCCTTTAACTCCGATTTAAAATACCTCCCAATACCCCTGTCAGTGACTCATCTGTCTCTAAGGAAGTGAGTAAGATATAAATAACAGTAATCTGATCTTATAAATAACTGCAATATCTTCTTTCACTGTAGTCATTGATATCTTTTCCATTAAGCACTGACTCACATGGGGTGCTGAGACAGTTATTATGAGCTACTGTGTATATTAGAACTCATGAGGGCCATTTTTTATTGACAAGAACAATAATGTTTGGTGTCAGCGCTGCATCCTAATTCATAATGTCCACACTCATCTGAGCTACCACAGGATTTCTTAGTCTCTCGAGCCAGACGGCTTACTTCCGCAATCTTTGACTGCTACAGTTTAAGACATTGCCTTCAGGCTTACGTAGCTGCATGGTCGGGGATATCCCAGACTTAGGATCACTTGGGGCTGAGGTAAATTATAGAAGAAGGAGTATAAAGTAAAGATAAACTAACAATTCCATGCTCATGAAACATTAATTCGGTTTTGTCCTAGGCTTGGAACTTGTAGAGATGTTATTGTCTCGTGGGCATTCTAAGGCCTGTTCCTCTGAACTGTACGGACACTGTAGAGAGATAATTCTCTAGAACAGAACACTGTCATGGCTTGACTGTGTGTCCTTATCCAAGGTGACACTCGTAATGACCTGTACCTGACCCTGGAGCGAGGGGACTTTGAGAGGGGGGGCAAGAGTGTCCAGAAAAACATTGAGGTCACTGTGTATGTGCTTTACGCCGATGGGGACACACTTAAGGTAAGAGAGAACATTTCTGTTGGTTTGCGATGATGGATCAACATTGACAGACAGTACACAGTACACATCTATCCATCGTATCCTCATTCATGCATAATGCATCTGCCATCCATCTCCAACCATGCCATCCATCCACCATCCATCCACACCACCATCATCCATCCATCATCCACCATCCATCCACATCCATCTATCCATCCATCCATCCATCCATCCATCCATCCATCCATCCATCATCCATCCATCCATCCATCCATCCATCATCCATCCATCCATCCATCCATCCATCCATCCATCCATCCATTCTAAAGAGTGCCTGTCCTCTCTCTATTCCCCACATCAGGACTGTATCAGTCTGGGTAGTGGGGAGCCCAACACCAGTGAGCACCGCTCCTTTGTCCTGTACCACAACAACAGCCCTCGCTGGAGTGAGATGATTAAACTACCCATCCCCATAGACCACTTCAGAGGATCACACCTGCGCTTTGAGTTCCGACACTGTTCCAGTATGTCAACAACACTGGACAGGATTTAGAAATACAGTTGTTATTGTTACCATTATTACTAACTTGATAGCAATAGAGAATTGTGTCTGTATTGTTTATGCTGTGTAGATGGTATAAACCTTACAGTAATGCCTTTGTGCCTCTCCTCAGCTAAAGACAAAGGGGAGAAGAAGCTGTTTGGGTTTGCCTTCACTCCTCTGATGAGGGAGGATGGGACCACGCTGTCAGACGAGAGTCATGAGCTCTATGTCTATAAGGTGGGGTCATAGATGACACAGACATGCACACACAGGTTTGAATATAGCATATTCTACATTATTCTCTGTAATTTCTATCTAACACATTTCTCTGTTGTGCCTCTGTTGCCCAGTGTGATGAGAATGCAACGTTCAGTAACCAGGGCCTGTACCTGAGCATGCCCTGCTGTAAAGAGGACTTCAACAGCTGCCCCAACCTGCCCTCCACCCTGCCCTTCCAGAGGAACCCCAAGGAGACCTTCTGGGTCTCCACACAGCTCTGCTCCACCAAGCTCACTCAGAACGGTAAGGCCAGCTCACTACACTGTACTGTACATCTCACCACACTCTATAACAGAGCGTTGACTAGCCTTGCCTCCATCTTTACCCAGAGCTTCACACATGTTTTTGTGTCTATTCTATTCTATTCTGCTCTGTTTCCAGTGGACCTCCTGGCTCTGCTGAACTGGAAAGCCCATCCTGACAGGGTGTTAGACATCCTGGGTCGACTACGCCACATCAATGGAGAGGATATTGTAAAGGTAACATCTAGGAAAGACTCCTCTTTGTTGTTTGACCAAACACTAACAGATCTATGACTAGCCTATGTTATTGGGTTTGGGGAACTATGATGGTGTAATGCACGTGTCAAACTCATTCCATGGAGGGCCTAGCGTCTGCGGGTTTTTGCTCCTCCCTTGTACTTGATTGATGAATTAAGGTCACTAATTAGTAAGGAACTCCCCTCACCTGGTGTTCTAGGTCTTAATTGAAAAGAAAAACTAAAACCAGCAGACACTAGGCCCACCATGGAATGAGTTTGGCACCCCTGGTTTAATGATTGAGCTGGCTCCTCTCCCCTGCAGTTCCTACGAGATGTCCTGGATACACTATTTTGTCTCCTGGATGACAACACAGATAAATACGGACCACTGGTTTTCCAGTCATTGGTAAGTCAAGATGGAGAGATCAACCTCATTCAATGTAATGGAATATAGTGTATGTGTGTGTTTATGTATGTGTGTGACTCAGATGTGTGAGAGTGTGCATGATTGCATGTGTGTGTGGCTGCAGCATACTCACATTTTCTCCAGTATGGCGAAACCGTATCTTCTGTTTTCCCATCTGTCTGTCTGTCTGTCTGTCTGTCTGCCCTCAGGTGTTTATCATCAACCTGCTCAGGGACAGTCGTTTCTACCACTTCCGGCCTGTGATGGAGGCCTACATACAGAACCACTTTGCAGGAGCTCTGGCCTACAAGTAATGTACCACTTCCACCATTACAACGGGCTTCTATGGTATTTGAGAGGTCTTGATGTTGGTATCATGTTGCTGAGTGGAACCCATAGAAACTTTTGTTTAGCTAATAATTTATTATATGACATTAGTCTTGCTCTCTGCAAAAATACAGAAATACAGTCAGGTACAAAATTATTGGCACCCTTGATAAAGATGAGCAAATAAGACTGTTTAAAATAAATAATTCATATACTGAGCTATATTGCATGCTCAAAAACATTGGGAAATTATATTATTTTATACTAATACAATTGCTCAGAGAAAGAGATAATACAAAAAATTCTCAAAAAGTTAGGGGTCAAAATGGTTGACACCCCTGTTTTCAATACCGTTCAATACCTCACCATGTGAGGATACCGGCACTAAGCCTTTTTCTAAAATGTTTTTTTGAGGTGGATTATGTGTGGAGGAAGGGATTTTAGACCCTTCCTCCATACAGAATCCTTCCAGATCCTTGATATCCTTCAGCTGCACTTATTGACTGCCTTTTTAATTTCAAACCACAGGTTTTCAATGGGTTTCAAGTCCGGAGACTGAGATGGCCATTGCAAATGTTGATTTTGTGGCCAATTAACCATTTCTTTGTAGATTTTGATGTGTGCTTGGGGTTATTGTCTTGCAGGAAGATCCACTTGTGGCCAACTTTCAGCCTCCTGGCAGAGGCAACCAGGTTTTTGGCTAAAATGTCCTGGTACTGTTTAAAGTTCATGCTGCTGTTGACCTTAAAAAGCAAAATAGCCCCATAACATCAAAGATCCAACACCATATTTTAAAGTAGGTATGGGGTTATTTTCTGCTCATGCATTCTCATTTCGACGCCAAACCCACCACTGGTGTGCGTGGGCAAAGAGCTCTATTTTCATGTCATCTGACCAAAGCACCGCTTCCAATCCAAGTGCCAATACCTTTTAGCAAACTCCAGGCATTTACATTTGTTGGATGACACTGGGCACACATTGGTTGAATCAATGTTTTCAACGTCATTTCAATGAAATTGCATTGAACCAATGTGAAGTAGACATTGAATAGAGTGCTGAGTACCAGGCAGTTAGCAAGTTTGGTAGGCTACTAATGACCATCAGCAGCATCAGAGCTTGGAGAAGCGTAATTACCGTGACTAAATGGTCACGTGGAATTTGACGGCCTTCATGACTCATGACCGCCGGTGTGGCGGTAATACGATCACCGCAACAGCCCTACTCCTCAGTAAAAGGCACATGACAGCCCGCTTGGAGTTTGCCAAAATGCACCTAAAGGACTCACACCATGAGAAACAAGATTCTCTGGTCTGATGAAACCAAGATTTAACTATTTTGCCTGAATGCCAAGCGTCGCGTCTGGAGGAAACTTGGCACCATCCCTACGGTGAAGCATGGTGGTGGCAGCATCATGCTGTGGGGATGTTTTTCAGCGGCAGGGACTGGGAGACTAGTCAGGATCAAGGGAAAGATGAACGGAGCAAAGTACAGAGAGATCCTTGATGAAAACCTGCTCCAAAGCGCTCATGACCTCAGACTGGGGCAAAGGTTCACCTTCCAACAGGACAACGACCCTAGGCACACAGCCAAGACAACGTAGTAGTGGCTTCGGGACAAGTCTCTGAATGTCCTTGAGTGGCCCAGCCAGAGCCCGGACTTGAACCCGATCGAACATCTCTGGAGAGACCTGAAAATAGCTGTGCAGCGACTCTCCCCATCCAACCTGACAGAGCTTGAGAGGATCTGCAGAGAAGAATGGGAAAAACTCCTCAAATACAGGGGTACCAAGCTTGTAGCATCAGAAGAGTCAGAAGAGTCAAGGCTGTAATCTCTGCCAAAGGTGCTTCAACAAAGTACTGAGTAAAGGGTCTGAGTACTTATGTAAATGTGATATTTCATTATTATTATTTTTAACCTGTTTTTGCTTTGTCATTATGGGTTATTGTGAGTAGATTGATGAGGAAAAATAATACTTTTATCAATTTTAGAATAAGGCTGTAACGTAACAAAATGTGGAAAAGTCGGAATACTTTCTGAATGCACTGTACATGCTAGGAGCATGTTAGGAGATATCAGCATGCTAGGATATACCCATAGACTTCCATTAATTGTGTAAAAGTAAAAGTGAAAGTCACCCAGTAAAATACTACTTGAGTAAAATACTAAAAGTATTTGGTTTTTAAATATACTTAAGTATCAAAAGTAAATGTAATTGCAAAAATATACTTAAGTATCAAAAGTATTTACATTTACGTAATTTAGCAGACGCTCTTATCCAGAGTGACTTACAAATGGGTGCATTCACCTTATAGCCAGTGGGATAACCACTTTGCAATGTTTACATTTGTTTATTTATTTTTATTTTTTTGGAGGGGGGGGTGGGGTGGGGTAAGGGGGGGGGTAGAAGGATTACTTTATCCTATCCCAGGTATTCCTTAAAGAGGTGGGGTTTCAAATGTCTCCGGAAGGTGGTGAGTGACTCCGCTGTCCTGGCGTCGTGAGGGAGCTTGTTCCACCATTGGGGTGCCAGAGCAGCGAACAGTAAAAGTAAAGGTATAAATCATTTCAAATGTTTTATATTAAGCAAACCAGATGGCACAATATTCTTGTTTTTGTTAATTTACGGATAGCCAGGGGCACACTCCAAAACTCAGACATAATTTACAAATGAATAATTTGTGTTTAGTGAGTCCGCTCGATCAGAGGCAGTAGGGAGGACCAGGGATATTCTCTTGATAAGTGTGGGAATTTGACCATTTTCCGGTCCTGCTAAGTATTCAAAATACTTATAATTTACTTTTGGGTGTCAGGAATTTTTTTTTTTTTACATTTACATTTACGTCATTTAGCAGACGCTCTTATCCAGAGTGACTTACAAATTGGTGCATTCAACTTAGGATAGCCAGTTGGACAACCACCCCCTTTTTTTCTTTTTTTTTTATGAGGGGGGGGGGGGGGGGTTTCAAGTGTCTCCGGAAGGTGGTCAGTGACTCCGCTGTCGTGGGGGAGCTTGTTCCACCATTGGGGTGCCAGAGCAGCGAATAGCTTTGACTGGGCTGAGTGGGAACTGTGCTTCCGTAGAGGTAGGGGGGCTAGCAGGCCAGAGGTGGATGAACGTAGTGCCTGAAGGTAAGGAGGTGCCGTTCCCCTCACAGCTCCATAGGCAAGCACCATGGTTTTGTAGTAGATGCGAGCTTCAACTGGAAGCCAGTGGAGTGTGCGGAGGAGCGGGGTGACATGAGAGAACTTGGGAAGGTTGAACACCAGAAGGGCAGCAGCGTTCTGGATAAGTTGTAGGGGTTTAATGGCACGGGCAGGGAGCCCAGCCAACAGCGAGTTGCAGTAATCCAGATGGGAGATGACAAGTGCCTGGATTAGGACCTGTGCCGCTTTCTGTGTAAGGTAGGGTCGTACTCTGCGAATGTTGTAGAGCATGAACCTGCAGGATCGGGTCACCGCTTTGATGTTAGCGGAGAACGACAGGGTGTTGTCCAGGGTCACGCCAAGGTTCTTTGCACTCTGGGAGGAGGACACAATGGAGTTGTCAACCGTGATGGCGAGATCATGGAGCGGGCAGTCCTTCCCCGGGAGGAAGAGCAGCTCCATTTTGCCAAGGTTCAGCTTGAGGTGGTGATCCGACATCCACACTGATATGTCTGCCAGACATGCAGAGATGCGATTCGCACCTGGTTATCAGAAGGGGGAAAGGAGAAAATGAATTGTGTGTCATCTGCGTAGCAATGATAGGATAGACCATGTGAGGATATGACAGAGCCAAGTGACTTGGTGTATAGAGAGAATAGGAGAGGTCCTAGAACTGAGCCCTGGGGGACACCAGTGGTGAGAGCACGTGCTGCGGAGACAGATTCTCGCCACGCCACCTGGTAGGAGCGACCTGTCAGGTAGGACGCAATGCAAGAGTGAGCAGCGCCGGAGATGCCCAACTCGGAGAGGGTGGAGAGGAGGATCTGATGGTTCACAGTATCAAATGCAGCAGATGGGTCTAGAAGGATAAGAGCAGAGGAGAGAGAGTTAGCTTTAGCAGTGCAGAGAGCCTCCGTGACACAGAGAAGAGCAGTCTCAGTTGAATGACCAGCCTTGAAGCCTGACTGGTTTGGATCAACTGAGAGAGATAGCAGGAGAGTTGGCTAGAGACGGCACGCTCAAGAGTTTTGGAGAGAAAAGAAAGAAGGGATACTGGTCTGTAGTTGCTGACATCGGAGGGATCGAGTGTAGGTTTTTTGAGGAGGGGTGCAACTCTCGCTCTCTTGAAGATGGAAGTGACATAGCCAGCGGTCAAGGATGAGTTGATGAGCGAGGTGAGGTAAGGGAGAAGGTCTCCGGAAATAGTCTGGAGAAGAGAGGAGGGGATAGGGTCAAGCGGGCAGGTTGTTGGGCGGCCGGCCGTCACAAGTGGCAAGATTTCATCTGGAGAGAGAGGGGAGAAAAAAGTCAAAGCATAGGGTAGGGCAGTGTGAGCAGGACCAGCGGTGTCATTTGACTTAGTAAATGAGGATCGGATGTCGTCAACCTTCTTTTCAAAATGGTTGACGAAGTCATCCACAGAGAGGGAGGAGTAAAAAGTACATTATTTTCTTTAGGAATGTACTGAAGTAAAAGTAAAAGTTGTCAAAAATATAAATAGTAAAGATACCCCCAAAAATGACTTAAGTAGTACTTTAAAGTATTTTGCTTAAGTACTTTACGCCACTGCTTCTAACTTCCTTCATACTGGACACAGAGACATACAAATGGTGTCCACGAGTTCATCTGACTCTGGGGAAGTAAATAAAGGGCCTCATTGCCAAAATCCCGAAGTATCCCTTTAAGATCAACAGCAGCATGAACTTTACCCAGTACCAGGACATTTAAGCCAAAAACCTGGTTGCCTCTGCCAGGAGGCTGAAACTTGGCCACAAGTGGATCTTCCAGCAAGACAATAACCCCAAGCACACATCAAAATCCACAAAGAAATTGTTATTTGGCCACAAAATAATTTTGCAATGGCCATCTCAGTCTCCGGACTTGAAACCCATTGAAAACCTGTGGTTTGAATTGAAGAGGGCAGTCCATAAGTGTAGACAAAGGATATCAAGGATCTGGAAGGATTCTGTATGGAGGAAGGGTCTAAGATCCCTCCTAATGTGTTCTCCAACTCATAAAACTAATCTAAAGCTTTAGACAGTGTAATCTAAAGCCATGGTGGATCAGAGGAGGTTTCCAGATGGATGAAGACTAGGGATATCTTATTACAGGGAATCATCAGTATGTTATGATATGTTTGCATTGCAGAATGTTGACATTAATAATGATTTGCTCTTTGATGCTGTAGTGGTCATGTAAATGGATATTGTATTACAAGGCCTAAAGAAAGGAACACAACCCAACTCAAACCACCACACCACACACACGTAATATAGTTGAAGTCGGAAGTTTACAGACACTTAGTTTGGAGTCATTAAAACTAGTTTTTTAACCACTACACACATTTCTTGTTAACAAACTATAGTTTTGGCAAGTTGGTTAGGACATCTACTTGGTGCATGACACAAGTCATTTTTCCAACAATTGTTTACAGACAGATTATTTAACTTATAATTCACTGTATCACAATTCCAGTGGGTCAGAAGTGTACATACACTAAGTTGACTGTGCCTTTAAACAGCTTGGTAAATTCCAGAAAATGATGCCATGGCTTTAGAAGCTTCTGATAGGCTAATTGACATAATTTGAGTCAATTGGAGGTGTACCTGTGGATGTATTTCAAGACCTACCTTCAAACTCAATGCCTCGTTGCTTGACATCATAGGAAAATCAAAAGAAATCAGCCAAGACCTCAGAAAAAGAATTGTAGACCTCCACAAGTCTGGTTCATCCTTGGGAGCAATTTCCAAACGCCTGAAGGTACCACGTTCATCTGTACAAACAATAGTACCCAAGTATAAACACCATGGGACCATGCAGCCATCATACCGCTCAGGAAGGAGACGCGTTCTGTCTCCTAGAGATGAACGTACTTTGGTGCGAAAAGTGCAAATCAATCCTAGAACAACAGCAAAGGACCTTGTGAAGATGCTGGAGGAAACAGGTACAAAAGTATCTATATCCACAGTAAAACAAGTCTTATATCGACATAACCTGAAAGGCCGCTCAGCAAGGAAGAAGCCACTGCTCCAAAACCGCCATAAAAAAGCCAGACAACGGTTTGCACCTGCACATGGGTACAAAGATCGTACTTTTTGGAGAAATGTCCTCTGGTCTGATGAAACAAAAATAGAACTGTTTGGCCATAATGACCATCGTTATGTTTGTAGGAAAAAGGGGGTAGCTTGCAAGCCGAAGAACACCATCCCAACCGTGAAGCATGGGGGTGGCAGCATCATGCTGTGGGGGTGCTTTGCTGCAGGAGGGACTGGGGCACTTCACAAAATAGATGGCATCATGAGGAAGGAAAGTTATGTGGATATATTGAAGTAACATCTCAAGACAAATGGGTCTTCCAAATGGACAATGACTTCAAGCATACTTCCAAAGTTGTGGCAAAATGGCTTAAGGACAACAAAGTCAAGGTATTGGAGTGGCCATCACAAATCCCTGACCTCAATCCTATAGAAACTTTGTGGGCAGAACTGAAAAAGCGTGTGCAAGCAAGGAGGCCTACAAACCTGACTCAGTTACACCAGCTCTGTCAGGAGGAATGGACCAAAATTCACCCAACTTATGGTGGGAAGCTTGTGGAAGGCTACCCGAAATGTTTGACCCAAGTTAAACAATTTAAAGGCAATGCTACCAAATACTAATTAATTGTGTGTGTAAACTTCTGACCCACTGGGAATGTGATGAAATAAATAAAAGCTGAAATAAATAATTCTCTCTACTATTATTCTGACATTTCACATTCTTAAAATAAAGCGGTGATCCTAACTGAACTAAGACAGGGAATTTCTACTAGGATTAAATGTCAGGAATTGTGAAAAACTGAGTTTAAATGTATTTGGCTAAGGTGTATGTAAACTTCCGACTTCAACTGTATATAATATCAAGATATCCAATATAGCTCAGTATTTGAATTATTTATTTTATACAGTTATTTTTGCTTATCTTTATCAAGGGTGCCAATAATGTTGGACCTGACTATATATGACACCAGTGTACATTTTCTTTGTCTTACATGGCCATGGGAAACCCCATGTTTAACACTCTTTACTCTGTGTTCTTGTAGAGAGCTGATTCGCTGTCTGAAGTGGTACATGGACCGCTCTGCTGAGGTTGTCAGACAGGATCACATCCAGGAGGCCATGAGGGTAAGGCTCACATTACATCACGTCTGTTGTCAGAAAGGACCACATCCAGGAGGCCATGATGGTAAGGCTCACATCACAACTGAGGTTGTTAGACAGGATCACATCCAGGAGGCCATGAGGGTAAGGATCACATCACATCTGTTGTCAGACAAGACCACATCCAGGAGGCCATGAGGGTAAGGCTCACATCACATCTGTTGTCAGACAGGACCACATCCAGGAGGCCATGATGGTAAGGCTCACATCACATCTCACCTGAGGTTGTCAGACAGGACCACATCCAGGAGGCCATGAGGGTAAGGCTCACATCACATCACATCTAAGGTGTTCAGGCAAGCCCACATCCAGGAGGCCATGATGGTAAGGCTCACATCACATCACATCTGTTGTCAGACAGGATCATATCCAGGAGGCCATGAGGGTAAGGCTCACATCACATCTGTTGTCAGACAGGACCACATCCAGGAGGCCATGATGGTAAGGCTCATATCACATCTCACCTGAGGTTGTCAGACAGGACCACATCCAGGAGGCCATGAGGGTAAGGCTCACATCACATCACATCTAAGGTGTTCAGGCAAGCCCACATCCAGGAGGCCATGAGGGTAAGGCTCACATCACATCTAAGGTGGTCAGGCAAGCCCACATCCAGGAGGCCATGAGGGTAAGGCTCACATTACATCACATCTAAGGTGGTCAGGCAAGCCCACATCCAGGAGGCCATGAGGGTAAGGCTCACATCACATCACATCTAAGGTGTTCAGGCAAGCCCACATCCAGGAGGCCATGATGGTAAGGCTCACATCACATCACATCTGTTGTCAGACAGGATCATATCCAGGAGGCCATGAGGGTAAGGCTCACATCACATCTGTTGTCAGACAGAACCACATCCAGGAGGCCATGATGGTAAGGCTCATATCACATCTCACCTGAGGTTGTCAGACAGGACCACATCCAGGAGGCCATGAGGGTAAGGCTCACATCACATCACATCTAAGGTGTTCAGGCAAGCCCACATCCAGGAGGCCATGATGGTAAGGCTCACATCACATCTGTTGTCAGACAGGATCACATCCATGAGGCCATGAGGGTAAGGCTCACATCACATCACATCTAAGGTGGTCAGGCAAGCCCACATCCAGGAGGCCATGATGGTAAGGCTCACATCACATCACATCTGTTGTCAGACAGGATCACATCCGGGAGGCCATGAGGGTAAGGCTCACATCACATCTGAGGTTGTCAGACAGGACCACATCCAGGAGGCCATGAGGGTAAGGCTCACATCACATCACATCTGTTGTCAGACAGGATCACATCCGGGAGGCCATGAGGGTAAGGCTCACATCACATCTGAGGTTGTCAGACAGGACCACATCCAGGAGGCTTGAGGGTAAGGCTCACATCACATCACATCTGTTGTCAGACAGGATCACATCCAGGAGGCCATGAGGGTAAGGCTCACATCACATCTGAGGTTGTCAGACAGGACCACATCCAGGAGGCCATGAGGGTAAGGCTCACATCACATCAGGCCATGAGAGGAGGTCTGGACAAACAGAGTGAACCCACACACTGTTAGACACTCCCAACATGCATTTCTTTACCAAACATGCAACGCTTAGACCTCACGCCTATAGATGAAAGGAAATATGACTTGAATGTCAAATAGGCAGTGTAATCTAAAGCCATGGTAGATCAGGGGAGGTTTCCAAATGGATGAAGACTAGAGATATCTTATGACAGGGAATCATCAATATGTATTGATATGTTTGCATTGCAGAATACTGACATTAATTATGATACCGAGGTTTGCTCTTTGATGCTGTAGTGGTCATGTAAAGGGATATTGTATTACAAGGCCTAAAGAAAGGAACACAACCCAACTCAAACCACCACACCACACATAATATAAAGATAATTGTATTTTAAAGGTAATTGTACCTGTTCCGTCCTCTGTCCAACCTGCAGGCTCTGGAGTACCTGTTGAAGTTTATCATCCAGTCTCGGATCCTGTACTCGCGGGCGACCTGTGGTATGGAGGAGGAGCTGTTCAGAGCCAGCATCCAGGAGCTCTTCCAGTCCATCCGCTTTGTGTTGAGTCTGGACAGCCGCAGCTCTGAGACCCTCGTCTTCACACAGGTCAGAACATCAGCACTTCCGGTCTGTCCCTAGCTTGTCTTTATCCCAGAAGGCCGAGATGTTAGAGTTCTTGACCTTGGGGATTGCCCTCCTATTCTACATAGACAAATCAGTGCATTGTGACTGGACTATTATGAATGTATCATCTCCTTAGTTCTATATTTGTGTTCATTTTGCTTTGATTCAATTTAGTTATTCATTTATCACTAATTTGTCATTGATTTCATGTATTGTTTCATTTCTATCGGTTGCTTGCCTGTAATGCACTTTAAAGGTCGACTCTGGGCACGAAAAACAGTCCAACTTCGCCTCTTTCACAATTTTCAAACAGAAACGGGGTGTGCCTTTGGTTGTTTATTGATGTGTAATTCTGGTCATGCGCGCCATGATCAACGTAGCTAGTTCGTTAGCCAACTATAGCCACTGTAGCTAGACAGTAACTCCTCCAGTATGTGTTGATGTCATTTCACAGGATTTGTTTTTGAACGGAAGCTGTAGAGATCGGTAAGAAATGGCACTTCTGTAGCCAAATATCTTATTCATCTTTTTTTTTTATGCATTCAATTACCTGGTATGAGGGTGCATTGATCAGTTATAGTTCCCAAAGCCAACCTTTATTGCATATATCATTCAGTGGAGGCTGGTGGGAGGAGCTATAGGAGGACAGGCTCATTGTAATGGCTGGAATGGAATAAATGGAAGGTTATCAAACATATGGAAACCACATGTTTCAGCTATTACAATGAGCCCGTCCTCCTATATAGCTCCTCCCACCAGCCTCCACTGATATAATCTGTATCATTTTATTTTTGCTCTGATCCCTCATTTTACTGTTGTGATCAACTGCATGCCTTTCTATGGTAGTCATGCTCCAGGGCTCTCTCCTGTCTCAGTTAGTCACAGCGCCACCTTGTGTTGGTCACCCAGTGCAGCAGTTTCTCTCTGTCAGCTGTCAACCTCCCTCGATAAGATACATGTCACCTGCCCTGTTTTGGTTTATGTTCTTCTTATGGTCCTTATAAGACGTATGTATCCCTGTATGTATGTTACAGTCATATAACTCCCTTATGGCATAGTGTCATTTATAGAATGGAGGAATACAAATGATCTAGACCTGCTCCTCCCTGTCTCTCTACCCTTCTCTCTTTGCCTCTCTGTCTCCCTCTGTCTGTCTGTCTGTTCTCCTTTTCTCTCCTTCCCTTCTTCTCTCTTCTTCTTGACCCTGTCAGGCGGCGTTATTGAACAGTTTCCCAGACATCTTTGACGAGCTGCTGCAGATGTTCACGGTGCAGGAGGTGGCTGAGTACGTCCGGGGCACCCTGGGGAGCATGCCCAGTACGGTGGATATCGGTCAGTCTATGGACGTGGTCAAACTGCAGTCCATCGCCCGCACCGTCGAGAGCAGGCTCTTCTTCTTCCCTGGTAAGCCTAAAGACTACAGGACAACTTTACTAACACCAAATGAAACTGTGAACACTGTTAGATGCTCCTAAAGTGGGACTGTAATAGATGGTTTCATCAATCTTTCTTCACTCTCTCCCCCTCTCCCTCTCTCTCCATACTCCTCCCATTCTCTTCCCCTCTACCTTTCTCACCCCATCTCAGAGTCTCGTAGTATTTTGCTGCCGGTGGTCCTGCATCACATCCACCTGCACCTGCGCCAGCAGAGGGAGCTGCTGATCTGCTCAGGAATCCTCACCAGCATCTTCTCCATCATCAAGACCAGCGCTATGGTACATCACATCACCACTGAATCTACTGCAGTAGTAGAGGTTGGAGGTAGAAGTTGTCCTTAACCACAAATCTAGGATCAGATGATCCTACCCCCAGTCCTAATCATAATCATTAGGGGGATGGAATTATATCTGACCCTGTATCAGTGGTTAGGGGCTACTTCTCTGTAACAGAAGCTGGTACCAAAACTGGTTACTATAACACCTACAGTAGTGTATCTATAGTAATCCCAGCTAAACATCCTTTTCACATTTTCTGTATCAAATGGAATTAAAGATGGGATGACTGAGTAGTTGATAAAACTTTATACACTGCCAAGACTTGTTAAGGCAAGCATAACACCATGTCATTGTTCAGACATTATTGTCAAAGCATTATTTTGTAGGCCACTTTACGTTCAGTGCGGAATTCATATTTTAATTGGTCTGTCGAGCGGCTTATACAAATTCATCAATTATTCATTGAATTCCTTCTTGCTCGATCTCTCTCTCTCTTTCCTCCTCTTCTCTCCTTCGCTCTATCTCTCTCTCTGCCCTTCCCCCTATCTCCTTCCTATTTCCTCACCTCTCCCCCATCGTTTCTGTCCTCCTCTCTGTTTTTCGCTCTCTCTCTTCCTAGGAGTCTTCTGTTCAGGAGGAGGTAGAGATGATGGTGGAGAGCCTGTTGGATGTTCTGCTCCAGACTCTGTTGTCCATCATGTCCAAGTCTCAGTCTCTGGAGACAGCTAGGGGGCAGCGCTGCCCCCAGTGCACGGCTGAGATCACGGTCAGAGATTCTCCTCTCCTACACTACATAAACAATATACTGTTTTGTAATGCATGGAACCTCACTAATATGGATGTGTTTCTGCCTGTCCAGGGGGAGTATGTGTCCACTCTGCTGTCCCTACTCAGACAAATGACAGAGGTCCACTTCCACCACCTGCTCAACAACTTCCACAGCAAAGAGGAACTCAAGGTGAGAGCTGCAGTCTCAGTCTGACTGAGGAACCCGGGGCTGAGCTGTAATATGTACATGGTAATGGGCACAATACACACTACATCCATTGACTTCCAGGAGTTCCTGTTGAAGATCTTTTGTGTGTTCCGGAACCTGATGAAGCTCACCATCTTCCCCCGAGACTGGAGTGTCATGAGGCTTCTGACCAGTCAGTAAGTCTGACTCACATGACCTGTAACACTGCCTTCATATGGCCTCCTATAAGAGATAAGGGAACATATACAGCTATGAGATGGAAGTCCTTATGCTGATAGCAGGTGACGTTTGTGTAGACAAGACTATTTTTATCATAACGTTTTGCTGTGACTCCTTCTGCAGTGTCATTGTGGTGACAACACAGTACCTGTCCCCAGCGTTACAGAAGAACTTCTCCGAGGTGGATTTTGACTTCAAGGTACGTGCCTCTGTAGAGAAACAAGAAGTGTCATGTTGAACAACAGCAGTAAGCAAGTAAACAATAGAGCCTTAAATATCCCGGAGAAGTCGACCCTGAAACTGCTGTTCTCTCCATGTCTTTCTCTGTTCACTAAGGACTCCACGGTTTCCTAACAACATTATGCTGTCATTCTGTGTTACACCTCTCTAGTCTTATGTGTCTCATTTGGTTCAACCTGGATTCATGGCTGGAGGGAAACTATGGAAATGCATAACCTGATGGTGAAATGTAAAAGTGGCAACAATGCTAAGATGTAGGCCTATATAGATAGATAGATATAGATAGATAGATAGATAGATAGATAGATACAGTAGATATAAAAGATAGATAGATACAGTAGATATAATAGATACAATAGATAGATAGATCTTTGCCGTTAAAGGGAATTTGAACACGTGTCTGATGTGCATGTTCTCTCTCTCAGGTGTGGAACTCTTTCTTCAGCCTGACGGTCCTGTACATCAACCAGCCCAGTCTGCAGCTGGAGCCCCTGACCCAGACCAAGAGGAAGAAAGTCCTGGACAAGTAAGAACCTCTCCATCACATGTGTTGGTATGTGTGTGTGTGTTTATCTGTGTGTGTGTTCAGTAGTTCTACGTTCTCTACTTTATCTCCCTCGTCCTTCCTCTGTAGGTATGGAGATATGAGGGTGATGATGGCCTATGAGCTCTTCAGCATGTGGCAGAAGCTTGGTGAGATAAACGTACATTCAGATACTGTGTTGTCATTCTAGCCTTCATGGATAATGTGTGTTTCAATAATATCTGTGTTGTGCCCTCTCTGTGTGCTCCAGGTGAGAATAAGCCCCACTTTATCCCTGGAATGATGGGTCCATTCCTGGGAGTGACACTCGTGCCTCAGAGTGAGGTCCGGAATATCATGATTCCCATCTTCCATGACATGATGGACTGGGAGCAGAGGCAGAACGGCAACTTCAAACTGGTCAGTGCTGTCTGTCCCCTGCTGTGTGACACCAGTCATCCTCTGTAGGCTTGTTTAAGGACAGGTTATAACCCAATATCATATCTATATTATGGATGTATGATTTTAGTGCTAGAAGTGTGGTGGTTGGTTCCTTATGCACTAACCTCTGTGTGTGTTGTGTGTGTGTGTGTGTAGGTGGAAGCAGAGTTGATGGACAAGCTGGAGAGTATGGTGTCAGATGGGAAAGGGGATGTCAATCACAGAGAGCTCTTTGGTCTGCTGTAAGCACCAACAACCTCAGTCTTCTATTCATACACAATGTTACCTGAGTCAGTGTGCTGTAGTACAGATGTAGGATCTTTAGTTGAGCCAGTTTGCTACAGCAGGAAAATAATCCTGCAGCAACAGGGGTTGATAAATTTTTCATTAGGGCAAATCAAGTCTGACATTTAAAGTGCAAATTACAACATTTAGAATCCTTTTTAAACCTTGAATACACTAAAAGTTTGCATTTCCTGCTGTGCAGGAAAATTCTGAGAAACAAAAGAGTGATCAAATTAGGATCCTACATCTGTAATGTTATTTTGTATGCTCCTGACTTCTCATGTGTCTTTTTCTGCTGCGTCTTTCAGGACCCAGTTGTTTGGGCCTTACCCCAGGTAAGATATCAGTTTCCCCACAGCCCAAGCTTTAGCTCTACCACTATCATGGTCCTCAAACAAACAAGTATTTATGGTTTACTGTCTGTCTGTCTGTAGCCTACTTGAGAAAATTGAGCAGGAGACGTGGAGAGAGACGGGCATCTCATTTGTCACCTCTGTCACGAGACTGATGGAGCGCCTGCTAGATTACAGGTAGATTGGATTACTCATTACAAACAACATGTTAGTATGAAAAAATAAAAGATGTCTGCTAAATGACTAAAATGTAAAAATGTAAATATCATAACATTGTCTATTGATAAATGGATGTATTGTAGAGATTGGAGAGACATTACAACTCTGCTCTGCTTTTAGGGAGTGTATGAAAGGAGATGAAATGGAGAACAAGAAAATGGGTGGCTCTTCCAACCTCATGGTGAGACATTGTATAATTTATTATACCTTATTACTTATATACCAGTTATGCCAGAGGTGTTTTGAGACAACGGCAAATGTACTTTGGTTTTTGGTTCTTGTAGTAATCTTGCTTCCTGATAACATTTGCCTGTCGTCACCAGAATTTCTACAAATCTGAGGTTAACAAGGAGGAGATGTACATCCGTTACATCCACAAGCTGTGTGACCTGCACCTGCAGGCAGAGGACTACACAGGTAACACACTTTCCAACCTGCTCACACCGTATAGCATTGGAACCCTGTGACAATCAGGATTACCATGTACGGTCAATGTGGTGAATTGTGATTACCTTTGACCTCTGTGTGTCCTCCCCACCAACAGAAGCAGCATTCACCCTGCTTCTGTACTGGGAGCTGCTGCACTGGGAGGACCGGCCCCTCAGGGAGTTCCTCCACTACCCCACACAGAGCGAGTGGCAACGCAAGGAGGGCCTCAGTCGCAAAGTCCTCCACTATTTCAACAAGGGAAAGGCAAGTCAAGCTAAAACAAGTCAAACTAAGTCAAGTCAAGCTAAAACAAGTAAATATAAGTCATTCAACAAAGGAAAGGCAAGGCTTTGTCTAGCCACTTTAGGTAGTATTCAAATGTGAGATCCTCAAATTTGGCCCAAATCAAACCATCATTTTATTTGATAAAGTCCCAAATGGATGTACATCTCAAGTCAAAATCTCAAGTCTAAGCACTTCTCCATGTGTCATGATTCCTATGATGGCTGTCTTTCCCTTCAAATACTCCTGAGAATAATGTTCCATAGACATGATATTGTTAACCTATAATGAAAGGTTCTGTATGGGTGAGCTCTGTCGCTCTATCTCTTCCAGTGTTGGGAATATGGAATATCACTCTGTCGGGAACTGGCTTTCCAGTATGAAACCTTATATGATTACCAGAGTCTGAGCTGGATAAGGGTGAGTCTGTCTGTCTGTCTGTCTGTCTGTCTGTCTGTCTGTCTGTCTGTCTGTCTGTCTGTCTGTCTGTCTGTCTGTCTGTCTGTCTGTCTGTCTGTCTGTCTGTCTGTCTGTCTGTCTCTGTCTCTCTCTCTGTCTCTCTGTCTCTCTGTCTCTCTCTCTCTCTCTGTCTCTCTCTCTGTCTCTCTGTCTCTCTCTCTGTCTCTCTCTTTGTCTCTTTCTGTCTCTCTCTTTGACTCTCTCTCTCTCTCTCTCTTTGTCTCTATCTGTCTCTCTCTTTTTTCCTCTGTCTCTCTTTGTCTCTCTCTCCCCTTCTCTCTCTCTGTGTTCTCCCTGTCTCTTTTTCTAAATAGTTGTCTGAGCCATTACTTTATCCCCAGTGAATACTCATCATCACAAAAATGAAAAGTAAATAGAAAGGAATGGAATATAAAATAAGTACTTTATTGTCCTCACATTGTGGAAATGTATTCACATTGCAATACATTGACGAAATATCAAAAACATTATTACCACTTTGTCATCAAGGGAACCTCGTTGATGTGTGTTGCTGAGAAAGATCAAGACGCTATCTGAGGGTTGAATCAAGTATTTTTGTCTTTATAGAAAATGGAGGCTGCGTACTATGACAACATCATAGAACAGCACAGGATTGAACCAGAGTTCTTCAGGATGGGCTTCTATGGCAGGAAGTTTCCTTTTTTCCTCAGGGTGAGATGAACACACACACGCATGCGCACGCACGCACGCACACTGTCTTGTATATCTAACCTTGTGGGGACACACAATTCCGTCCCATTCAAAATCCAATTTTCCCTAAAACCTAACTCTAACTCTTACCCTAACCCTAACTTTAACCCCAAAACTTAACCTTAACCCTAAACCTAACCCTAGCTCCTAACCCTAAAACTAACCCTAACTCATAACCCTAACACTAAACTTAATTCTAACCCTAACACTAATTGTAACCTTAACCCTAAACCCCCTAGAAATAGCATTTGACCTTGTGGGGACTAACAAAATGTCCCCAGTTGATCAGATTTGTTCGTTTACTATTCTTGTGGGGAGTTCTGGTCCCAAGTATAGTTAAACATGTCCACGCACGCACGCACACACACACACACACACACACACACACACACACACACACAGGATCTTTTATCTAATTGCAATTTTTTGTACCTATCAATTGGATGACAACTCTTCTCTCCAGAATAAGGAGTTTGTGTGCCGGGGTTATGACTATGAACGACTAGAGGACTTCCAGCAAAGGATGCTGGGAGAATTCCCACAGGCCATTGCCATGCAGCACCCCAACCAACCAGATGACGCCCTCCTACAGAGTGATGCTCAGTGTATCCTAACCATGGTCAATGTGTTTGTGTGTGTGTGTGTATGCGTTTTGTCTGTCAACTCAACTGTCAGTCTATTTGGCTGTGTTTTCCTTAACACCTGGCCTCAGACCTGCAGATCTATGCGGTGACTCCAGTGTCAGACATTACTGACGTGCCTCAGCTGGAGCGCGTCCCAGAGAGGATCAAGAGCTTCTATCGCATCAACAACGTCACGCGTTTTCACTTCGACAGACCCTTCCACAAGGGACCCAAGGACAAGGAGAATGAGTTCAGGGTATGTGTGTCTTATGTCCAAGTTCTTGCTTTGTAGGTCTAAATAGAATGAATGACAATAGAAGGTAATTATATTGTCTGTATACTATACAGAAGGTGATTCAGTGTTTTGTGTGTGTGTTTTTAGAGCCTGTGGATTGAGAGAACCACCCTGATTCTGTCTCGTCCCCTCCCTGGAATCTCCCGATGGGCTGAGGTGGAGAGGAGAGAACTGGTGAGGAGCACTGTCATCTCATACTATTGTCTCATAGGCTACTGTCATCTCATGCTGTCATCTCATACTGTCGTCTCATGCTGTCATCTCATAGGCTACTGTCATCTCACGCTGTCATCTCATGCTGTTGTCTCATAGGCTACTCTCATCTCATACTGTCGTCTCATAGGCTACTGTCATCTCATGCTGTCATCTCATACTGTCATCTCAAACTGTCGTCTCATACTGTCGTCTCATAGGCTACTGTCATCTCATACTGTCATCTCATACTGTCGTCTCATAGTCTACTGTCATCTCATACTGTCATCTCATAGGCTACTTTCGTCTCATACTGTCGTCTCAAACTGTCATCTCAAACTGTCGTCTCATATTGTCGTCTCAAACTGTCATCTCAAACTGTCATCTCAAACTGTCATCTCATACTGTCGTCTCATAGGCCACTGTCATCTCATACTGTCATCTCATAGGCTACTGTTGTCTCATACTGTCGTCTCATACTGTTGTCTCAAACTGTCATCTCAAACTGTCATCTCAAACTGTCGTCTCATACTGTCGTCTCATAGGCCACTGTCATCTCATAGGCTACTGTCGTCTCATACTATCGTCTCAAACTGTCATCTCATACTGTCATCTCAAACTGTCATCTCATAGTGTCGTCTCAAACTGTCATCTCGAACTGTCGTCTCATACTGTCATCTCATAGGCTACTGTCGTCTCATACTGTCGTCTCATATTGTCGTCTCAAACTGTCATCTCAAACTGTCATCTCAAACTGTCATCTCAAACTGTCGTCTCATACTGTCGTCTCATAGGCCACTGTCATCTCATACTGTCATCTCATAGGCTACTGTCGTCTCATACTGTCGTCTCATACTGTTGTCTCAAACTGTCATCTCAAACTGTCATCTCATACTGTCGTCTCAAACTGTCATCTCGAACTGTCGTCTCATACTGTCATCTCATAGGCTACTGTCATCTCATACTGTCGTCTCAAACTGTCATCTCATATTGTCGTCTCATACTGTCATCTCAAACTGTCATCTCATACTGTCGTCTCATAGACCACTGTCATCTCATAGGCTACTGTTGTCTCATACTATCGTCTCAAACTGTCATCTCATACTGTCATCTCAAACTGTCATCTCATACTGTCGTCTCAAACTGTCATCTCGAACTGTCGTCTCATACTGTCATCTCATAGGCTACTGTCATCTCATACTGTCGTCTCAAACTGTCATCTCATATTGTCGTCTCATACTGTCATCTCAAACTGTCATCTCATATTGTCGTCTCATACTGTCATCTCATAGGCTACTGTCATCTCATATTGTCGTCTCATACTGTCTTCTCAAACTGTCATCTCATATTGTCGTCTCATACTGCCGTTTCAAACTGTCATCTCAAACTGTCATCTCATATTGTCGTCTCATACTGTCATCTCAAACTGTCATCTCATATTGTCATGTCATACTGTCATCTCATATTGTCGTCTCATACTGTCATCTCAAACTGTCATCTCAAACTGTCATCTCATATTGTCGTCTCATATTGTCGTCTCATAGGCTACTGTCCTCTCATACTGTCGTCTCAAACTGTCGTCTCATACTGCCGTCTCATACTGTCGTCTCAAACTGCCGTCTCAAACTGTCATCTCATATTGTCGTCTCATACTGTCATCTCATAGGCTACTGTCGTCTCATACTGTCGTCTCATACTGTCATCTCATACTGTCATCTCATAGGCGACTGTCATCTCAAACTGTCATCTCAAACTTTCGTCTCATATTGTCGTCTCAAACTGTCATCTCATAGGCTACTGTCGTCTCAAACTGTCGTCTCATATTGTCGTCTCCTACTGTCATCTCATAGGCTACTGTCGTCTCATACTGTCGTCTCAAACTGTCATCTCAAACTGTCATCTCATATTGTCGTCTCATACTGTCATCTCATAAGCTACTGTCGTCTCATACTGTCGTCTCATATTGTCGTCTCATACTGTCATCTCATAGGCTACTGTCGTCTCATACTGTCGTCTCAAACTGTCATCTCAAACTGTCATCGCATATTGTCGTCTCATACTGTCGTCTCAAACTGTCGTCTCATATTGTCGTCTCAAACTGTCATCTCATAGGCTACTGTCGTCTCAAACTGTCGTCTCATACTGTCGTCTCAAACTGTCGTCTCATATTGTTGTCTCATACTGTCATCTCATAGGCTACTGTCGTCTCATACTGTCGTCTCAAACTGTCATCTCAAACTGTCATCTCATATTGTCGTCTCATACTGTCATCTCATAAGCTGCTGTCGTCTCATACTGTCGTCTCATATTGTCGTCTCATACTGTCATCTCATAGGCTACTGTCGTCTCATACTGTCGTCTCAAACTGTCATCTCAAACTGTCATCTCATATTGTCATCTCATACTGTCGTCTCAAACTGTCGTCTCATATTGTCGTCTCATACTGTCATCTCATAAGCTACTGTCATCTCAAACTGTCGTCTCATATTGTTGTCTCAAACTGTCATCTCATATTGTCACCTCATACTGTCATCTCATAGGCTACTGTCGTCTCATACTGTCATCTCATATTGTCGTCTCATACTGTCTTCTCAAACTGTCATCTCATATTGTCGTCTCATACTGCCGTCTCAAACTGTCATCTCAAACTGTCATCTCAAACTGTCATCTCATATTGTCGTCTCATACTGTCATCTCAAACTGTCATCTCATATTGTCGTCTCATACTGCCGTCTCACACTGTCATCTCAAACTGTCATCTCAAACTGTCATCTCAAACTGTCATCTCATATTGTCGTCTCATACTGTCATATCATAGGCTACTGTGCTCTCATACTGTCATCTCAAACTGTCGTCTCATACTGCCGTCTCATACTGTCGTCTCAAACTGCCGTCTCAAACTGTCGTCTCATATTGTCGTCTCATACTGTCATCTCATAAGCTACTGTCATCTCAAACTGTCGTCTCATATTGTCGTCTCAAACTGTCATCTCATATTGTCACCTCATACTGTCATCTCATAGGCTACTGTCGTCTCATACTGTCATCTCATACTGTCATCTCATAGGCGACTGTCATCTCAAACTGTCGTCTCATATTGTCGTCTCAAACTGTCATCTCATAGGCTACTGTCGTCTCAAACTGTCGTCTCATACTGTCGTCTCAAACTGTCGTCTCATGTTGTCGTCTCATACTGTCATCTCATAGGCTACAGTCGTCTCATACTGTCGTCTCAAACTGTCATCTCAAACTGTCATCTCATATTGTCGTCTCATACTGTCGTCTCAAACTGTCGTCTCATATTGTCGTCTCATACTGTCGTCTCAAACTGTCATCTCAAACTGTCATCTCATATTGTCGTCTCATACTGTCGTCTCAAACTGTCGTCTCATATTGTCGTCTCATACTGTCATCTCATAAGCTACTGTCATCTCAAACTGTCGTCTCATATTGTCGTCTCAAACTGTCATCTCATATTGTCACCTCATACTGTCATCTCATAGGCTACTGTCGTCTCATACTGTCGTCTCAAACTGTCATCTCATATTGTCGTCTCATACTGTCATCTCAAACTGTCATCTCATATTGTCGTCTCATACTGTCATCTCATAGGCTACTGTCATCTCATATTGTCGTCTCATACTGTCATCTCAAACTGTCATCTCATATTGTCGTCTCATACTGCTGTCTCAAACTGTCATCTCAAACTGTCATCTCAAACTGTCATCTCATATTGACGTCTCATACTGTCATCTCAAACTGTCATCTCATATTGTCGTCTCATACTGCCGTCTCAAACTGTCATCTCAAACGGTCATCTCAAACTGTCATCTCATATTGTCGTCTCATACTGTCATCTCAAACTGTCGTCTCATATTGTCGTCTCATACTGTCATCTCATAGGCTACTGTCCTCTCATACTGTCGTCTCAAACTGTCGTCTCAAACTGTCGTCTCATACTGTCGTCTCATACTGTCGTCTCAAACTGCCGTCTCAAACTGTCGTCTCATATTGTCGTCTCATACTGTCATCTCATAGGCTACTGTCGTCTCATACTGTCGTCTCAAACTGTCATCTCAAACTGTCATCTCATATTGTCATCTCATACTGTCGTCTCAAACTGTCGTCTCATATTGTCGTCTCATACTGTCGTCTCAAACTGTCATCTCAAACTGTCATCTCATATTGTCGTCTCATACTGTCGTCTCAAACTGTCGTCTCATATTGTCGTCTCATACTGTCATCTCATAAGCTACTGTCATCTCAAACTGTCGTCTCATATTGTCGTCTCAAACTGTCATCTCATATTGTCACCTCATACTGTCATCTCATAGGCTACTGTCGTCTCATACTGTCGTCTCAAACTGTCATCTCATATTGTCGTCTCATACTGTCATCTCAAACTGTCATCTCATATTGTCGTCTCATACTGTCATCTCATAGGCTACTGTCATCTCATATTGTCGTCTCATACTGTCATCTCAAACTGTCATCTCATATTGTCGTCTCATACTGCTGTCTCAAACTGTCATCTCAAACTGTCGTCTCAAACTGTCATCTCAAACTGTCATCTCATATTGTCGTCTCATACTGTCGTCTCAAACTGTCGTCTCATATTGTCGTCTCATACTGTCGTCTCAAACTGTCATCTCAAACTGTCATCTCATATTGTCGTCTCATACTGTCGTCTCAAACTGTCGTCTCATATTGTCGTCTCATACTGTCATCTCATAAGCTACTGTCATCTCAAACTGTCGTCTCATATTGTCGTCTCAAACTGTCATCTCATATTGTCACCTCATACTGTCATCTCATAGGCTACTGTCGTCTCATACTGTCGTCTCAAACTGTCATCTCATATTGTCGTCTCATACTGTCATCTCAAACTGTCATCTCATATTGTCGTCTCATACTGTCATCTCATAGGCTACTGTCATCTCATATTGTCGTCTCATACTGTCATCTCAAACTGTCATCTCATATTGTCGTCTCATACTGCTGTCTCAAACTGTCATCTCAAACTGTCATCTCAAACTGTCATCTCATATTGACGTCTCATACTGTCATCTCAAACTGTCATCTCATATTGTCGTCTCATACTGCCGTCTCAAACTGTCATCTCAAACGGTCATCTCAAACTGTCATCTCATATTGTCGTCTCATACTGTCATCTCAAACTGTCGTCTCATATTGTCGTCTCATACTGTCATCTCATAGGCTACTGTCCTCTCATACTGTCGTCTCAAACTGTCGTCTCAAACTGTCGTCTCATACTGTCGTCTCATACTGTCGTCTCAAACTGCCGTCTCAAACTGTCGTCTCATATTGTCGTCTCATACTGTCATCTCATAGGCTACTGTCGTCTCATACTGTCGTCTCAAACTGTCATCTCAAACTGTCATCTCATATTGTCGTCTCATACTGTCGTCTCAAACTGTCGTCTCATATTGTCGTCTCATACTGTCGTCTCAAACTGTCATCTCAAACTGTCATCTCATATTGTCGTCTCATACTGTCGTCTCAAACTGTCGTCTCATATTGTCGTCTCATACTGTCATCTCATAAGCTACTGTCATCTCAAACTGTCGTCTCATATTGTCGTCTCAAACTGTCATCTCATATTGTCACCTCATACTGTCATCTCATAGGCTACTGTCGTCTCATACTGTCGTCTCAAACTGTCATCTCATATTGTCGTCTCATACTGTCATCTCAAACTGTCATCTCATATTGTCGTCTCATACTGTCATCTCATAGGCTACTGTCATCTCATATTGTCGTCTCATACTGTCATCTCAAACTGTCATCTCATATTGTTGTCTCATACTGCTGTCTCAAACTGTCATCTCAAACTGTCATCTCAAACTGTCATCTCATATTGACGTCTCATACTGTCATCTCAAACTGTCATCTCATATTGTCGTCTCATACTGCCGTCTCAAACTGTCATCTCAAACGGTCATCTCAAACTGTCATCTCATATTGTCGTCTCATACTGTCATCTCAAACTGTCGTCTCATATTGTCGTCTCATACTGTCATCTCATAGGCTACTGTCCTCTCATACTGTCGTCTCAAACTGTCGTCTCAAACTGTCGTCTCATACTGTCGTCTCATACTGTCGTCTCAAACTGCCGTCTCAAACTGTCGTCTCATATTGTCGTCTCATACTGTCATCTCATAGGCTACTGTCGTCTCATACTGTCGTCTCAAACTGTCGTCTCAAACTGTCGCCTCATCAGACTCCTCAGGGGATGATGCAAGAGAGTGCATAATTTGTGTTTGTCTCTCTCTCGTATGTTTCATCATGGATTGAAATCTATGTGTGTGTGTTCAGGTGGAGGTGAGCCCTCTGGAGAATGCCATCTACGTGGTGGAGAATAAGACCCAGGAGCTGCGGACCCTGATCAGCCAGTACCAGCACAGGCAGCACCATGGCAACATCAACCCCCTCAGCATGCTGCTCAACGGGGTCATAGATGCTGCAGTCAACGGGGGCATCTCCAGATACCAGGAGGTACTGACAGAGAGGGATGGAGGAACATGCAGTGTTATCTGCTATAGACCCAGTTGGTATTAGAACGTTGCGACTCTGCCCACCTGTGGGGAAAACCCTTACAAAAAAAGATTACAGTTTTGAAACTCCAGTAAAAGTGCAGTTACTGCAGTCGACTGTGGTATTTTGGACGCATTAATTGCAGAATAACTGCAGTGTACTGTAGTTCTACTGCACTCTAACTGCAGTTACACTGCAAAATTACTGCAGTAAAAAAAACGGTGTTATTTTGGGTGCAGTATTTGCAGCATACTGCAGTTAGTGGAGTGAGTGGAGTTACAAACGGACTGTACTAAACAAGTTAAATGTCTTACCTGTGATTTAATGTTTTCCACACACATATATATGTGTAGTCTACTTGGACACTGTGTCCCCACATTTCCCACACTGAATAGCCTGAAGCCACAGGGCTCTTCTTGCAGGCTCTATTTCCCTACGTGGGAGCATTGCGAACCGTTGGTCGGGAGTTTTGACCTGGCTATATGTACATTGAACAACACAGCAGCTTTTCGGCATGTTTTGTTCTTTCTGTATAACTAGAAATCTACGACCAAGTTGGCTCTTTTACAATGGGAGCCAATAGGAAAGAATGTTTGTTTCCCCAATTTGTGGGCGTGGTCGAGGGGAATTCCTTATTATTATGTGAATATCGACTTGGAGTATGCCTTGTAACTCATTCATATCCCATGTTCCTCCTCCACAGGCATTCTTTGATAAGGACTACATCAACAGTCAACCAGAGGACGCAGAGAGGATCACTCAGCTAAATGACCTAATGCAGGAACAGGTCAGACACAACTCTTAACTCTTAACTCCTCACTGCCCACTGGTCAATGGTCCATACAGTGTACATGGGTATAGAGGACAGATAAACCATATGTTGTCTCATTGTCACAGGTTCACATCCTTGGAGTGGGGCTGGCTGTCCACGAGAAGTTGGTGCACCCAGAAATGCGTCCTCTGCACAAAAAGCTGATAGATCAGTTCCACGTGATGAGGGCTGGTTTACACCAGGTAAGTGGTTCTACATGCTCTTCTGTTCGTGTATGTGTGCTCCTGTATCCATATGTGTAGGTGTGTGTGTGTGTGTGTGCAGTTATTGTGAATATTCAGAGCAGTCTTTATATGTGGCCCAGCAGGGATTGCCAGCGGCCTGCACAGGGGTCAACTCTACCAGAGGCATCCTGACCACTCACAGCCACATGAGCCCAGAGAGTGTTCGTCTGATAAACAGACACAGGTCAGTCACACATTATACCAGGTTTCACTTGAGAAAGAGATGTTACAGTAATCTCAATGTGACCACCTGTTAAAATATGATTTTCTCTCTCTCTGCCTCTATTTTAGCCCTATGAACATGCAGTGTTCTATACGCCAGTCCTCCTCCTCTCTCTCTTCTCACACCTCCAGCGAGGCAGGAGGAAACCTGGTCATCCTGACAGACGGCCTGATGGGAGAGCCCCATGAGGATATGGCACACATGCAGGTGGGTTTCACATGCACACATTCACATACAAGTTTTGGACGTTTTGAAGATACGTGAGTGAACAGATGTTTTATTTTCCAGCCAAGCCCCTCCTCCTCCAGTCTGAGCTCCATTCGCTCCACCTCCTCCCAGATAAACAACTCCGCCCCTTCCAGCGCTAGAGGTGAGTGACACCTGCACCAGGAAGTAAATATTTTATTTAGGAAACATGCTAATTCACAGTTGTGACTATAACTGTCAGTCAGTTATCCAGTGTTTATCAGTGAGTCTCTGGTGTCCATACAGTCTACAGCAGACATATCTGACCCGTCCTATTCCCCCTCCCCCCCCTCCCCCAGGCTCTCCGTCCCTACCGGATAAAGCCAAACACAACCGGGAGGTGATGATTCTGCTGCCTCCTCACCAGAGAGCTAACAACACCATGTACTACAGCGTGACTGACAACGGACAGGTACTGACGTTACAGGCCAAACCATTCAATTACTGCTGCCAAGTTAAAATAGAACTGAAGTGAACTGACGACACTGCTGCATTAATTAAGGAGAAGAAGACAGTTCGTTCACTGAGCGTAAGAACCAAGCAGAAAGCAGAAATAGACTGGTACTGAGGCTACAGAACATACTGTTTGTTCTTATACTTTACCCTTATCTTTAACCTCTGTCTCTCTGTTTGCAGAGCAACAATTTGCAGCGTGCCTTACTCCAACAAGTGAGCCCCTGTAAGCCATGCATTGACCCTCACATGGGCTTGCCAGAGAAAGGTGAGAAATACTGAATGCTTGTGGTAAAATGGGTTAATGCTGCTGAATTGAGCTAAGTAGGACACAACTACACATACAGTAGGAGGATTTCCTAGCTCTGTAGTGAGCATGTGGTTTGCTGGTGTTCCCCCAGTGTTCCCTAGTGCCCCCAGCAGCTGGAGTCTAGATGCGGAGGGTAGGGAGACAGTGCCCTACATCCAAGGACCTACAGGGGGCATTATCATGCCCCCCGTTCCACCCAGGTCCTTCCCACCAGGTAAGAACAATCATGTCATAATATACACCTTATCTATGGGTAAGAGTCCCTTAGCTGTCATGTACACTAGATTGGAGGTTTTGTAAAGTACATGGGAAGTTTATTCTGATGTGAATGTTTTTACTTGCGCTCTCTAGGTCACTTCCTGATGCACTTTGATGCGTTCCACCACCAGAACAGTGACCCACCCCCAGCCCTGCCCATTCGCGCTCTCAGAAAGGTAAAAGACAGTCATGCATACTGTACCAGTAAATAATGCTATCCTCTTAACTTGGTCAACAGATGTCAACCCATTTCTTATCTTCCTCTCTCTCTTTCTCTCTCCCTTTATCTAGTCTCCTCTCCACCCCATACCAGGCTCCCCTACCAGTCCTCAGTCAGCCCTGGGGGGCAGTAACTCCACCCTTTCGGGCAGTGCCAGCAGTGGCGTCTCCTCTCTGAGTGAGAGTAACTTTGGGGGCCAGTACCCTGATCCCCCCGTGCGGAATGATGCCATGGAGCCCGTCCCCAGCCACCTGTGGACCCCTGATGAGTACCTGGACTCTCCTTACCTCCACATCCACTACAGTGGGCAAGAAGCAGAGTCCCTCGACCAGGTCCGACCCTTCCACTATCGCAACCCCGTCTCACACCCCCACCCTCACCCCCACTCTCATCCCCAAACGGCCGGCCTCGACGGTCACCCCCACCCTAACTCCCACCCCCACTCTCACACCCAACCGGCCGGCCTCGACGGTCACCCCCACCCTCACTCCCACATGCCCACCCACCACCAGATACCACTCCACGGCCCCCACCGCATTCCTTACCGGCGCCCCCAGCCCCCAGCCGTGCCCCCCAAGCCCTACCTGAGGGAGGGGTGCATCCCTGAGGAGGACCTAAGTTCCCTGGTGCCCCAGCCCATCCCCCTGCCTCGGAGAATCTTCCACTCCCCCCACAGCCACAGAGAGGAGCAAGCCAAGGCTGCCTGGGAGCAGTGCATCAGCGAGGAACACGAGGAGACACCATGAGGAGACCGTCTCTGGCTTAATAGTCTAAAGTGGCTCCCTCCCCCCGTCTCCTTTCCTTCAGCTGCATCGATGTGAAAGGACATGGGCTGTGGAATCATGCAAATACATTGTAGGCATTGACCATATTGCTTTCATGCTTTCATCCTTCCCATGTTTTCATATCAGTGCAGATAAAGGGGAGGAAACAAGGAGAGGAATCCACTTTAGGCTATTGAGATACGCCCTCACTCTTCTCACTGTATTCAGATGGTCTGATTCTGAATGGAGGAGGCAGCCTCATAGGAATGAATAAGGGAAATATTGTCTGTTGGACAATGTGACCGATAATAATGACTTTGTTTAAATGAATATTGATTGTACACTCTTGTACAACTAGTCTGTGAGCATGTTTAGTTTATTTTCATTTGAGAACAATATACAGCCGTTTTGTGAAACAGGACAATCTCGATCAACATGATCAACTGATACAAGCCCCGAAAGGATTCCCCTCCCTTTTCCACAACAAAAGGCAACTACAGAAAGTTATATTCTTAGTAAAGTGATGTTGTCTTTTCTGCTTTCAATGCTTCATATATCTATCCTATTATTTTGATAGCTTTACTACAGTATGTATTGGGTTTTCAAATACACTTTCCATGCTCTTTTTCTTTTTACAAAACACTGTATAGTCCTTCACCATATGGCATTCTCCAATACTCTGTTCTGATACATGGTTCTCATTGAAAGCAGGTCTGTTATTTGACCTGGGTCACTCTTCTTGACCCAATCCTCAAGGGACATATAAACCTCAGTTTAGGAGTATTCATCCATACGGTACGTATGGAAAACCAATGTGAATGTATTCAAACAAGATGTGCTATTTGTATTACTCAAGTGGCAGGTCTTCTTTTCTGTTCAAGTGCTTTTATATTTAAGTTATGTCTTTATTCCAGTCTTCTAATATTTTGTGTACCAGATAGAAATATTTCATGAGAGGAGCATGAGTGTTCCCCAGACTGACAGATCTGATCAATCCTTGGGAGGGGTACAAGGAAGGGGTGAAATTGTCAGGTGCCACAGTGAGTTCTGGAACAACAGTGAGTTCCAATTTCAGTTGCACAGGTTGAGCTGGATCCAATAGGACTGGATCGATCCCTGAAAGGAGATGGCGATGGAGAGTAAGCTGCAGTAAGATGAGAAGTAACAAAGAATAATGACTCAACAGTACCTCAATCTCAGAAAACCTGGATCACACCTTCTCTCTGCCTCTATACGTTTCAGGCCAATGTCAACCAACAAGTACTAAATACGGACCGTGTGTAAAAGGACTGATGGCAATGACATTGCTTCTGTCTGATTACAGTACATCTTACCTGTTCTATTGACCCCTACGCCCTCTGCCCACCGAATGGCAAATCAAAATTCCCCCAAACAGCGTTCTAAACGGCCACCTGCCTTAAGTGCACTGAAATGCAGTATCAATCTCTCGCTCAGACAACTCACTGGATTGGTTCTGAGAAACTCCTGAAATGACAGCTCTCCTTTCTCATCACGTTCTCGACACTCTACGAACAAAGCAGATAATATCAACATGTGACATCTGTTTTGTCCTGCCTTGGTTGAAGATGGTTGTTTGGTTTGTGGTGCTACAGTAATACTTTCAGTATGCTTAGTTCTGCCTGCATCTCCTCTTCAACCTGATCTGCAATATGGAGATGTTTGTGTATAGAAGATGAGTATGAGAAGCTCAGACAGGACCATGAAGTTGATCTCCTTGGGGAATGAAGGTACAACAGACAGTTAGCTGAGATGTAACATATAACTCACCACCAGTGGGTTAGAAAGTGGAGGTCAGTGTTCCAACGACAGCTCTTTGTTTCACACAGTCGTTTTCTGCAGGTGACTGATCGGCTTTGTGTTCTTGTACATCAGGTTCTCCACTGATCAGACAACATCTATTTTTGTATGCAGGTTCATCAGTGTTCACTTTTTTCACTGATGTACCATGAAAGGATGCAGGGTATGTTTAGCAGTGGAATTAGTATGGAAGAGCAGAGCTATAGATTAAATAAGATTAATATCAGGTTTAGGGGCAAGCTGATGTTGAGGAGAAGTGCGATACTCAGATCAAATATAGGTACAATAGAATTTTTCAATGTAAATTCTGTTACTGTACATACAGCGGTATTGTGAAATATTTTTGAGAATTATTGCAGACCCCCTAAAATAATTGTATTGTTGTTTTGTGTAAATACATGTACTCCAGAAATTGATGTAATTGATGAATATCTATAATCAATGTTTAAAGATGACCAATCCATTAGACTGTGGTTGTCTGCATTGTTGACTTCAAATCTTAAAATATAAATACTTTATACACTTTTCAATGTGCTTTCTTGTACATATGGTGTTAGCATGATCAAACAGTGTTTGGTTGTAAAAGTGGTTTTCCTACTCCCATAACTGCTGTGGTATGGATTCGTTAACAATGCCAAACATTAAAGACAATCTTTTATCAGCCTTGTCTCTGTCATTTCCATTGCTTGCTGCTCTGTGGAAAATAGCACCAATGACTGGCATTATGTTTGGCTGGGAATGGAATTTGACAGTAGGTGGCACTGCTACTTGCACTTACACAAACCACTGTCAGTTGGTCAGTCACTCTTTATTTTTATCAGAAGGACATTTGGTTAAATACAGATATTTAGCTATTATATCTCTTAGAAAGACACCTAGATCTCATGAGGCCTAGGTGAATGAAGAATGGAGCTATATACAGGCAGTACCAGTACCAGTACCAGATCAATGTGTAGAGGTACGTGGTACTTGAGGTAGATATGTAAATGAAGGCAGGGTAAAGTGTCTAGGCATCAGGATAGATAATAATAAGGTATTTGAGGTAGATATATACATAAAGGTAGGGTAAAGTGACTAGGCATCCGGATCGATAATAATATGAGTAAAATAAAGAATAGAGTAGCAGCAGCAAATGATGAGTGTAAAAGTGTGTGCGTGTGTATGTATGTGTGTTTGTGTTGTGTGACGGTATGCGTGTGTGTTCGTGTGTGCGTATGTAGCATTTTAATGTGTGAGGGATTTGTGTGGGAGTGACAGTGTATTGTGTGTGAGTGTGTATATGGTGTGTATATAAAGTCTAGTGAGTGTGCGTAGGGTCAGTGCAAGAAATAGTCAGTGCAGCTCGTTTGGGTACCATTAATTGACTATTTAGCAGTCTGGCTATTTAGCAGTCTTATGGCTTTGGGGTAGAAGCTGTCTCGGAGCCTGTTGGTCCGAGAGCCAATGCTCAAATAAAATAAAATAGTATTGGTCACATACGCATATTTAGCAGATGTTATTGCGGGTGTAGCAAAATGCTTGTGTTCCTAGCTCCAACAGTGCAGTAGTTTCTAACAATTCACAACAATACACACAAATCTAAAAGAATGGAATTAAGAAATATATAGATATTAGGACGAGCAACGTCGGCGTGGCATTGACTAAAATACAGTAGAATAGAATACAGTATATACATGTGAGATGAGTAAAGCAGTATGTAAACATTGTTAAAGTGACTAGTGTTCTGTTATTACAGTGGGGGAAAAAAGTATTTAGTCAGCCACCAATTGTGCAAGTTCTCCCACTTAAAAAGATGAGAGAGGCCTGTAATTTTCATCATATGTACACGTCAACTATGACAGACAAAATGAGGAAAAAAAATCCAGAAAATCACATTGTAGGATTTTTAATGAATTTTTTGCAAATTATGGTGGAAAATAAGTATTTGGTCAATAACAAAAGTTTCTCAATACTTTGTTATATACCCTTTGTTGGCAATGACACAGGTCAAATGTTTTCTGCAAGTCTTCACAAGGTTTTCACACACTGTTGCTGGTATTTTGGCCCATTCCTCCATGCAGATCTCCTCTAGAGCAGTGATGTTTTGGGGCTGTCGCTGGGCAACACGGACTTTCAACTCCCTCCAAAGATTTTCTATGGGGTTGAGATCTGGAGACTGGCTAGGCCACTCCAGGACCTTGAAATGCTTCTTACGAAGCCACTCCTTCGTTGCCCGGGTGGTGTGTTTGGGATCATTGTCATGCTGAAAGACCCAGCCACGTTTCATCTTCAATGCCCTTGCTGATGGAAGGAGGTTTTCACTCAAAATCTCACGATACATGGCCAACATTCATTCTTTCCTTTACACGGGTCAGTCGTCCTGGTCCCTTTGCAGAAAAACAGCCCCAAAACATGATGTTTCCACCCCCATGCTTCACAGTAGGTATGGTGTTCTTTGGATGCAACTCAGCATTCTTTGTCCTCCAAACACGACGAGTTGAGCTTTTTCCAAAAAGTTCTATTTTGGTTTCATCTGACCATATGACATTCTCCCAATCTTCTTCTGGATCATCCAAATGCACTCTAGCAAACTTCAGACGGGCCTGGACATGTACTGGCTTAAGCAGGGGGACACATCTGGCACTGCAGGATTTGAGTCCCTGGCGGCGTAGTGTGTTACTGATGGTAGGCTTTGTTACTTTGGTCCCAGATCTCTGCAGGTCATTCACTAGTCATTCACTGTGTGGTTCTGGGATTTTTGCTCACCGTTCTTGTGATCATTTTGACCCCACGGGGTGAGATCTTGCGTGGAGCCCCAGATTGAGGGAGATTATCAGTGGTCTTGTATGTCTTCCATTTCCTAATAATTGCTCCCACAGTTGATTTCTTCAAACCAAGCTGCTTACCTGTTGCAGATTCAGTCTTCCCAGCCTGGTGCAGGTCTACACTTTTGTTTCTGGTGTCCTTTGACAGCTCTTTGGTCTTGGCCATAGTGGAGTTTGGAGTGTGACTGTTTGAGGTTGTGGACAGGTGTCTTTTATACTGATAACAAGTTCAAACAG